GACCATGCAGTCCAAAGAAGCTTCCCTGACTTTGAATCATACCACATAGTGTAGCTCAAAACTGGGACATCTTACAAAACGTTTTGTTCCTGTGGATTTGGATTCCCCTTTCAACCGACTTCAAGAAGGGTACCCTCCAAAAATATGGCGCCAGCGCTTTAACGCTGTCAAAGTCACCGCCAAAGTGATAGATGAAAGGGAAACACCTCCAGCTAGCCCGACCAAACAGTGAAAATCACGACCCCACAAAATGATGGAACCCCATCCAGGGGTAGGTGCGGTAAAGTGGGTAGGAAGGTGAGAGCTGCCCCGGTTTTTGAGGGAAACCCCCCCCCCATTCCCCGGCAGCCCTCAGGTCCCTTACTCCACGACCGCGCCCGCGCCCTAGCTCCCTCTGGCGATCGCCGTACTTCAGGGCCCTGACCTGCAGACTTTGCACGGGATGTTCGACGGGCGAGTCAGGGTGCCCTCTGGGCTGCCGGTCCCCCGCTAAGTGACTCACTTTTAGTGGGTTGAATGGAAACTAAACACTAAAAGGATCTAAAAAGCTACGGGGATGGCTGGTAGCCACCAAGTACTCAGGCAACCGACCCAATTGGTGGCTTGGATTGGTGGTTTGGGGATCTGAACCACCAAGTCGTGGGAAACTGACAAATTCGTCTAACCAACGCTGCCCAAAGCACCTGACAATAGTTAAAGAAAAGGCTCACCTGTTGGGACCATGACTATGGAAAAGTGGCAGCTGGGCGTGTCTTCTTTTGGTGGACCCACCCCCTTTTGGTGGCTGTTGTTTCAGGGAAACCCAAAAGGAAACGAAGCGTGTTGGTGGCCCTGAATTTTGAGACAAATATATATTCGGTGTAAATTTTGGTAGTGGGCCCCGAAGTGAGTGTGTCGATTTTAAGCGACACCCAGAAATGGTGGTGTCCCTTTGGACCGACCCCAAAAAGGGTACCCTTGAAAAAAGACCCACCCAAGTCGACCTCCAAATTCACAGCAGCGGCCTCTTAGGGGCCAATGGAATGGCCATATCTTGCCGCAACACGCTTCAGGGGAAACTCGCACGGCCCAGAAGGCGATGCTGGAAACCGCCCAAAAGGGGGAAGGGACACCTGGGTCTGTCCTTTAGGGGGTGGCTGTTTGTCCAAACGGGGTATAAGGAGCCCTGTCCAAGTACTTTAGATCCCACTTTATCCCAGAAAGCTATAGGATACAGCCTACCAGGGTAGAACCTCATCCAAGTACTCCCCCTGCCAAACTCACACGGATCCTTCAAACGCCTTCGTTTTGTTGGGATCCAAGCTAATTCGTCTTTTTTGGGAGAAACCCCCTTTTGGTTGGTCTTAAACAGAAAACCACAAGGCTTTCAACAGGAAATCACAAAAAGACATACCCAAATCACACCAGGTGAAAGATGGCACAGTTTCCGAGGCCATGGCCGGAAGCACTGAGAGTTCAGTTGCCCTTTTGCTTTCGTGGGTTTGCTTAAGCTTGATTTGACCCTTCAAAAGGGTTCGAACAAATGGGTTCAAACGGATGCTACACACATGGTTATCCTTCCCTGTGCAAGCTGGAACCCGACAATCAGAACCCCCTAAACAGGTCCCCTGAAACTTGCACGACTTTGATCAGGAAACGGCATTGGTATCCCTTGCTTCAAAAAAAAGTGACTAGTGGGATACGTCACTACTCCCTCGAAAGTTCTGAACAACAAAATTTCATGGGGGGGTTGTGCATATGTATATATATATATATATATATATATATATATATATATATATTTATGTATGTATGTATATATATATATATTAATGTATGTAGTTCTGTGTGTGTGTGTCTTTATTTTAAGAGAAGAAAAAGGAGAAACAAACACAATGTTTGATGCTGTTGAGCAGAAAAACAACCAACAGATGCGAAGTGTGGCTCTGTTTTCTTTTTGTTGTCGCTTGACAATAATATCAGTAATAATGATAAACAACTATGGACTCCCACGGATAACCACCAAAATCCCTCCAGCTAAGCTGGTCGCGGCATCTTCCACCACTTCGCAGGCGTAGTCCATCACGATTTTGCACACCAAAAGCATTTCTACCTCGCGCGCGGTGCTATACACACGAACAGAAACGAAACAGCAAAACATGCTGGAGCCCTCAAAGTAAACAGTTCCAGTGACGATAAGACTTCGAATCACTTTTGGGGTGGGTTCCCTTTCAAACACTAGAGTCTCCAAATCACTTTTGGGGTGGGTTCTCTTTCAAACACTAGAGGGACAATTTGAGGAGGTCACTTTGGTGGATCCAGAACTACGTATGAATAGTCCCCCAAGCTGGGCTGAACTGGAGCGTTGGCGAATCCGATTTTCCATCCCTTTGGACAACCGCTTTCAGAACACAAGGTAAGAGGATTGCAGTTGAACAGTTTCTGGTTGAATTTCGTGAGCTCTTCATTTCTCTTAAAATCAGGAAAGCTGGGAAATCTTCTTAACACATCTCACAAGCCCAGGAACAACCGCCGGGTGGAACTGTTTGATCGCTGCAAAACGGCAAGGGGAAGTTGAAATGGAGCCCATGCCATGGTCGAAGCCGCGGGTTCACAAAAATTGTCAAGCTCTGAAAGTCTGAGGGGCTTTAGACAACCTAATCATCTGGCCAAATCGATCCACCAGAGTCAGTAAATTTCCCGAATGAAGGGACTTGCATCATGGGCAAGCTCGTTCTGCCTTCGGATCGGTGAGCTCGTGGTTCGCGCAGAACCCACGACAAAGCTGGGCTTTGCTGCTTTGCTCATTCTTTGGTGTATGCCCCAAGTAAATGATACCTTCCTTCAACATCACCATCGTCACTTTCCGCATCGTCACCATGTGGGGCTCGATACTACCCCATCATCCTCACAGTCAAAAACCAGCCCATCAGCAGAAGTGAGAAACATGAGCAGGATCCCTTCACAGGGCAACTGTGTCTTGCACATGCCCTCTTGCGCTCGCGCACACACACACACACCCAAAACAACAAGTAAGCAAGCAAGCAAGCAAGCAAGCCAGCAAGCCAGCCAGCCAGCCAGCAAGCCAGCTAGCCAGCCAGCCAGCCAGCCAGCAAGCCAGCAAGCCAGCAAGCCAGCAAGCCAGCAAGCCAGCAAGCATGCAGGAAGGCACAAGCCAGCAAGCAAACCAGCAAGCCAACAAGACAGCGAGCTACCAAGCCAGAAAGCCAGCAAGCCAGAAGAGAGCAAGCCAGCCAGCCAGCTAGCTAGCCAGCATCCAGCCAGCCAGCCAGAAAGAAACCAAGCAACCAAACAACCAAACCAACCCAAACAAACCCACCAACCAACCAGCCAACCAAACAACCAAACCAACCAAAACAACCAAAACAAACCAAGCAAACTTAAAAAAAAAAAAAAAAAAAAAAAAAAAAAAAAACGACAAGAACAAATCCGAAAGCAAGCTGAGGCTTGGGCATCCGGGTCAGTGAGGCGGTACTGAAGCGCAGCCCCTGCGCAGGATCAGACCTTCAGCTTGAAAACCTCCTGGGAACAACTTCCTGGATTCCTGGCTTCGATTCCTGGGGTCAAAACGACCTAACCAAAAAAAGAATCAGATATGGTTCGGATCTGGTTCTCTTGGAGTGAAATCTTGGAGAGAACGCCCCGGAACACCTCCAAACCACCGAAGTGTTCTTGGTTGTTCCAGCTTCACTCTGATTGGTGCTTTGGATGGTGGTTTTCCATCACCAGGAAGAAACCCACCGCCGGCTGCACTCGCCAACCAGCAAGACATGCTGGAGAGCCTACCACATTGACTTGAAAAAACCTGCAGGACGATTCCCATGCAAAGCGCAAGCTGACCGACATGATACCCTCAAGATGGAACCCGACAGAGGCTTCCTTCAAAAGAAAGTTCGTCCCAACCTCCCTCCGAAACCTCAGATTCCATGCTCGAAGCGTGCCAGGCCGGCCCATGAGGTGAAGGAACTTGATGCCCTCAAAACGAGTCCGACATCTCCATTGGTAAGCCTGGTGATAACCCACTGAACGAAGACTTATAACCATGGCAAGGCGGCTAGGAGACTTACAACCATGGCTTTTGTGGGTTATCACTAGGCCTACTAAGTACCCTGCCCTTTCTAAGTATGGCGAAACAAGCTCACGAAGCACATGGCCGCAAAGCATAGAGGACAGAAATGACCAGAGGACTTGCGCGCAGCTTTTGGAGCCCCAGAGACATGTTGCGACACGTCCGCTACTCGGTTGCGTTCTGCTCCCCTGCCAAAAGTTTAACTAACGTTTAGTGGTTTAATGGAATCGTTGGCAAAAAGTTAAAGTCCTAACATCCAAGCAACATGCACCAAAGGCTGCTCGCGGTGCGTCAGTCGCTTGCACTAAGCTGATGGCAACGCAGCACTGAAAGGGCCCACACAACCTGCAGGCATCTGCCAGAAGCAAAATGGGAAACTGCCCAAAGATGTGTTCTTGGGTCAAACTCCCGTACCCAAAGTGAACATCCCAATCCCCCACTAAAATAAACAAAAATGGGTGGTGCACCTACCCCAACATGGTACCATTGGTGTTCACCCACAGCCATATGTTCTGGGGCAACATCCCCTTTTTCCGGATTTGGGGGTCCTGTAATAATCTGGGAATGACTGTCTTCCTTCGGTAACTCCCCGTTCCAACAGCGCTCGATTGGCAACGAGAAGCGGTTTGCAACTCATGTCAAAGAAGCCGACCACTTCGACGGCGAAGCGAATGACTCAGTGCCGAATCGGCTGTCTGACGATACACAAGGGATATCAGAGTTCCATTGTTTAGCTACCCCAAGTTGGACCTAAACCCAGAAGGTGTCCCTGGCGGCGGCAAATCAACCAGAAGTCCACCTTGGTGAAGTCGAAAAAGACAAATATCCTTCACCAGCCTGTCTCTGCGGAAATCCCTGAAAAGGAAAGATTAGAATTTTCAACCAGATGGCGAACCGAAGCTCAAAAAGCCGGAAGACGACGCGCGGGTCCTCACCAGGGACAGCATCCGAGAAACCTGGCGGCTTCGCACGTTGGTAAAACTAGCAAAAATTGAGATTTGGGTGTCTCCGTCCTCTTGGCTTTCCTGAAAAACCAACTAAAAGATTACCCTCAAAATCGAGGACACACCCAGTTCGTGCTTGCCCCTCCCCCCAAAGAAAAATCCCCCTGCTGAAAACTTCCCCCACCCCTTCGTCCCAGGGCAGGCTCCGCATTCCAGTCAGAGAGATGTGGCTCTCAGGCCGGCACCGTGTTCTTATCCAAGAGGGTTGCAACCTGAGAGCAAAACGTTTCATTCCAAAAACTCAGCGATCTGTTCAGAAGATTCTGCTCAAAACCGCCATGGGGTGATTCTCGACTTGCTGGTTTGATTGGCAGGGGATTGAGGAAATACCCATCGACTTTTGAAGCTCTAAGAAGGCTGGAAATCTACTTGCTGGTCCGATAGGCAGCGAGCGAGAAATGGAATGACCTCAAAAGATACAATCCTCTATGGTGTCTAGGTTCGTTCCCAACACCCCCGGGTACCAGCAAGTCTTTATGTATTCCTGCCTAGGGAGACTCCCACGGATTGCTCACTGAAACTAGTGAGGCTCGGCGCTTCCCAGCGTTACCGTGCCTATCAAAGTCCCCCCCCCCTTTAGTGGCAGGTCAAAGGGAAACCACCAACCAATGTCTGACTTTGACCCCCAAGAAACAATCATTCTTCCTGACCCCAGAATAACCCCTCCGGAAGGAAAACAACTCATTGTTCACTCCTGAACACCCAAAGAGTCAGGACACCCCTCAAAATCCCAACTCCCCTCGTCGCTGACGTCGCAATCCATCGGCGTCCAAATAGGGCACGGACGCTCCATGGCCCGGTTTACATGCCAAGCCCAGGTGTCCCCGTTGCCATTTGAAGGGAAACCTAAGGAAAAGCAAGTTGCCATTTAGATGTTTTTCTCAACAACAAAGAGATCGGGTGACGCAGGTTTTACTCTGCTTCCATTCACCAATGCCATTTTGGGTACTCCATCTGAAGAGCATGGGCAGCGATTCCTATGAGAACCAAGCCCGCAAGGCAGGGTCTGTGTCTCTCTCTTTCTCTTGCCGCCACGGGGCCATATCCGCCTCCGCCTTGTTGGATGCGGGCACCTGGAGACTGGAAAACCCAGCCGCGCCAAGGGGCTGGTCCCGTTTTTCCGGTGCCAAACGGTTGAGGGCCTGCAGGCCACAGCGAACACCACCTGTCTTTCGGGATCTCCGAATCTCCTGCTCTCTCTGCCTGCAACGCTCAACAAAAACAAAGAGAGAGAGAGAGAAGGCAAGAAAGAGCCTCCGGAAACTAGGTCTACTAAATAGCCCGCAGCTTGTGCGCTCACTTGAGTCAAACAAAACAAACACCGTCATGGTCTAGCCAAAACCATGTTAATAAATGAAAGGGCGGATTTCCGCACCTGTGGCTTGTCCCTTAACCTTCATCTACCCGAATCGGCTTTGCTTGTGGCTCACTTAAGAACCAGAACCTGGGAGCCAGAAATCTTCAATTTGGCGGATGGAAGCCATGGCCTTGTCCTGCGAGCGAGGGCAACTAAGATGTGTAAGAAACCATGCGGATGCAAATTCTCGGTGAATTACAATATTTCACCAATCTGAAATAAGGTGTTTGGGGGGCTGTTCCCCACATAAACCACCATTGAGGGAGAGGCCGTGTGAGATCGTTACATTTCAAACAGCATATTGGCATGGGCGTGGCTCCCAGATTTATCAAAGCGCTGCTACGCAGCTTTTAGTCCATTTACTAAGCTGCCATTGCGGATACCATGTTTGAGCCACAGCCACAGAATCTAGCATGAGAGTCACGAATAGACCAACGGATCATTGAAACAATCTATCTTCATAAATCGATCATGTTCCAACAGAGTCACATGGACTCGGAGCACCCGTCTGCAAAGGAGAGAAGCAAACTGTCACTCAGCTCGTGATGAATTTGTCAACCAGTTGCTTGGCAGTTGGGCCGGCCCTAATTCTTCGACTCCCTAGCCCACATTCCGCTCATTCCTGAATAGGGAAAACGAAATGCAACCACTCAAGAGTTGCATCTCTGACGCGGTGGACCCTCTCAAACTTCAATGGGTGCTTAATGGTGTTTGGTTCACTTTGGATAATGGCTCTTGGTTGTAACCCGCATGCTTTTACCCCGAAATTCGCAGGCAAGACCCCTCAAGGCTCACCCCCAGGAGGAACTCATCATGAAGTCATGTTTTGTCGGCCTCCCGGCACAGGCGACCTGGTGCAAAGTTGATGGCCCTGGTACATGGAACAAAAACCAAATGCCCAACGAGTGGAACCAATCCATCTCTGTTTAAACTCACCGAAGAAACCACCAATCTACACCACCAACTAAGGGTCACCTGACCTATGCCTCATGTGGGGTTCTTTGTGCGGCCTGCAGCAACGCAAAGCAGCAGCGCATGAGGGCTGCCACGGTGTATCCGGGCTCCAAATGCCCTGACGCGACGCAAATGACAGCACGATCCGTCCAAGGGCAACTCACCACCACAACTACCAACCAACCAACCAACCAACCAACCAGCCAGCCAACCAACCAACCAAGCAAGCAAGCAAGCAAGCAATCAAGCAAGCAAGCACGCAAGCAAGCAACCAACCAACCAACCAACCAACCAGCCAGTCAACCAGCCAGCCAGCCAACCAACCATCCAACCATTAAAAGAACGACGCGATACCAAGAGACACGATGTCATTCTTCATTTCAACGGCGCCAGGAGTGAAATCGATGAAGGGATGGATCCAACCGGGGAGCTTCGCAGGACTGACTTTTGAGAGACTTCTACGTACGTGTATGAAGCGTGCATGGGTATATATATATATATATACAATATACATATATATATATATAAAGTCCACGAATGAGATATGTCCGTGTATGTATATATATACATATACATGTATAAAAGTATATAAAAAAAATAGATGTACGTGTATATATATATGGACATATACATATTTGGGGAGGTCTGTCATATATATATATATGCAACCCCCCCCCCCCCCCCCCCCCGGTGCCTAGGTGTTGCTTGATTTCAGCCCGCAGGCTGTAGAGCTTAGATTGTTTGCAATGGATTTTAAGCACAAACGAATGGGCTTTTGCAGTCCATCATGGCAAGATCCAAAATGTCCCAATATGATACCCTTTCCAAATAGGATTTTACTTCAACTAGAATTGGAATTTTGAATACAACTTGGTTAAGATATCTTATATAAGCAATTCCTTTCCAAATAGGAGCTACATGAGAGTATAAGTATGGTTTCGGGCAAACTCCAACTAATCTTCAACAAGAGAAGTTAGGAGTTTATTCCCAAATAAAATCTAAGTGTTAGATATAATATAATACGAACACAGCTATAATCTAATACGAACACAGCTCATAATAACAATTAAATAAAGACTACTTCTCAAATTTAGTCCGTATTGAAAATGGCTAAACATTTAAGGGACTTCTACAAGGAAATTCGAAATACGATCTGTGCTTGTTATATTCTGGCCCTGTTTGCAGCATAAGAAAGGTCCGAAATTAAACTTGTTAGACGGTGTTCCAAAAGGAAATTTCAAGGGAAGAGAGGTTCAAAATCTAAAACTATTTCGAAACAGTGATTCCAGCTGAATCAGTTGTATTTAAAGTTCTCAGGACAACACAATTCATTCTATCTCAAAAGGCGGAGGTAGTAGATGAGCAAATGTGGAGAGGTAGTTCAAGAGGGGGGATGACGGTGTGTGAACATACATACATGTATATAAATACATATGGTACCGTGTTCCGTGTTGCTTCCCCCCAACCCATGGGTCCCCCAGGACCCCCCCCCCTTCCCCGAGACCCCGAGCCCCCGGATGACCATTGGGGTGGGGGGTGGGGGGGGGTGGCAACGCTGTACCATATATACATACATACATACATATATATATATATAGTACCCCTAATGATCCTGGGCCTCTTACAAAATACTGTAAAATACAGTGTTGTTGAGCATTATACCTTTGTTTACCTCCTGGAGAAAGGTCAACATGCCTCATAGCTAACATGAAGCAAACCGCTCACCAAAAGCACTTGAAAGTTTGTCTAACTACTAACTTGAAGGTGTTTCCACTGGATCGCTAAGCACTTGAAAGAATTTTAACACTGGATGGAAAAAAATCAAAATTGAAGATTACACAGAACACTTTCCTGGGAATTGTCAATCCTGGCCAAACCAAACAACATTCAAGTTTTTCTCACTTGAAAGTGCTTTACGACTGGATTGAGGATTCAATATCGAGGAGTGCACAAACAACAACTTTCCTAAGAATCATCCATCCTGGTCAAACCCAAAAAATAATCAAGTTGTTCTAAAAGGAAGGAACATACTTTACCACTGGATTGAAGATTCGAGATTGAGAAAAATCACGGAAAGCGTTTCCGAGAATCTTTTTGAACACCGAGAGTATTGGGACAAACCTGGAATTTTCAAAAAACTGGGATTCAAGATTCAAGATTCCCAGAAGAAGAATATTTTTAAATCTTGAATCTTGAATCCCAAGTTGTTTAAAAGAAAGAAAGAATAATAAAAAACTGAGATTCAAGATTCAAGATTCAGGATTTTTCTAAATGACTTGTTTCTGGGAATCTTGAATCTTGAATCACAGATTTAATATATATATATATTTAAATGGGACGCAAGATTCAATACTCCAGAATTCCAGAAAAGATTGTTTTGAAGTCTTGAATCTTCAATTCCAGATTGTCACATTGAACGTCTCCCAGCAATCTTGGGTCCAGAATTCTTAATTGTAGAATTGTGACACACACCCCTTCCTTGGTGCCCAAGGTTGGCCAATAATGCAAAATTTCCTGAAACAATGACTGAAATCAAGCAAAACCTAGGCATCAGAAAAAGGCGTACCATATATATATATATATATATATATGTGCACACATATTGGGGGGATCTATCTTTGTTAACATGCATCCACCTGTACACCTGCATCATTGACCCCTTGCACATCAAGGCCTTGAGCCTGATTGCAGCATCGCCCCTCATGGACAACATACAACAGTGTGTGCCACTTCACACACAGGTTTGACACCTCAGGTATAGGCACTCAAGCCACTTCAAGTTTAACAATCGATTGTGGTGGACAACACAAAGCGGAAATTGTGCAAATGGTATGGGCGTTCCAAAAACCTGAAAAATTGGGGACCCTCCGAAATGTATTTTGAGACAAACTCATGTGGGGTGAAGCTTGATTGGGGACTTTGGTGGACATCACTTAGGTGGGGATTCCTGAAATTCATAGCCATGTGGGTGTGTCTGTTGACAATCACAAATGTGTTTTTCAAACGCGTACCCTCAGAGAAAAGACACTCTTACATGTTCATTCCTTTGACTACTCTGCTCGAAAAGCCGTCCGCCTGAGGGGGCGAAATGCTCCTCCTGGCAAGCAGGGCGGATTTTAACATGTGTGTGGCTCGTCTTTCTTTGATTTGGTACCCCTCCACGTGGTTCGTCTGTCCAGTGATAGATTCCTGTTAAAGCCAACAGTGTCTGCCTTTGAGTTGGTACACGTGTTTTGTGGGATTTAAAGATGGAAATGGAAACCAAGGCCAATTTGGCGGGGGTACCGATTCCTATTTTGAAACATCTTGCCCAAACGCCCGTGCTTTCTTCACCTTTGTTTTGGTTTTTGAGGAGGGTCACTTGAAACCAATTTGGATGTGTGTTTTGAGGATGCTCCTTGTATTGTAGGTTTTATAGGGAACCAAGGGGAAAACAGCCATTTTGCGGGGTCCCCTAAACAAGACCAATTTTGCCCCACCCCCCTTCCCCAGTAGAAATGGCATCTGCCAATTGAGCCGCGCCCAAAACCCATTTTCTACTAACATGGAGAGTAAGGTTGCTAAGGGCTTGCTGCACTATAACCCAAACCAAGTAAAACCACCTGAACTTACCAAGGGCACTGCTTAAGCTGGCTTCAGTGTTCGCTGGGAAGTTGGCAGCCTCCCAGAAGCCCTGGAAGCAAGGGACCCATGCTAGAAGCAATATTCCAACAAAACCTGTCTCCATGTTTGCTAAAGAACAATGTTGACCCCGGAATAATTCACCGGTTTTATTCATAAGGGGGGTGCTCCCCAAAAGTGATGAGCCTAGAGGGGGCACTCCCTCATTCATGAACTACGGGGTGGTAGAAATCCGGGTTCCCATTATTGGAATAATCCCCCAACCATTCCCTACATCCACAAGCGGGCATGGTAAAGTTCTCAAATGCCCACATTCCCGAGCAAGCCAACATGCTTCAGGCGAGCTTGCTGCATTCCTGCATCTTCCCTAGTGTGGCTTTTTTTGCCCCTTAGAAAAGAAACAGGTTCTTTCTTGGAGGGGCGGTTTTTCAGGCCAGGGGCGGAAATTGCACTTTGCCCGCTCTGGCAGCATTTGGGCACAGAAAGCGTGCCTCTGAGTGTGGCATAAACCGACCTGGGCACATCCCGCATTTCAGGCGCGCCCTCCCGCGCCAATCGCATCAGTTGAGGTGCAAAACAGGCATGCGCCTCGCCTGCGATGCGACCTGGAGCCGCTTTTCTCGAATGTTCTTTTTGGCCCGCAGAAAATGGACTTTTGGAATTGCAGCCATGACGTGGTGAACATAACGAAGGCTGAAGGCTCAACCGGGAATATTGAAGGATCTTTGTGTTGGTTGCCTTTCTGGGAGACCTCCCAACGGTTGCTTTTTTGGGCATGTGACTTCAAAGGACTGCGCAGGGCAGGCAAGGTTCACTCATGCCCCAAAAACGGTTTGGCCCACTGCTTTGTATGCGGCGGCCGTGCCCTCAACAACGAGCAGATCAGGGATATTGCCACAAACCATCGAAAGCAAGAGCTGATCAAATCGCTGCACCTTTGCTTAAACGGCAGTGGTGCTTGAAACAGCAAGGGCCTCAATTTCTGATTTTCGAAACGCCTTGCGGCCAAAGCCTTCAATGCTGTTAGCTAGGGTTGAGTTCGCAATGCTCACCTTGGATCCGAGACCAGGCCCAAGCTCGAACCGATTGCTTCGGAGCCTTTTTCCGCGCTAGGCAAATCTGAAGCTGGCCTGCTGCCACCTGCAGCAGGGATTGCTCTGACCCGGTCATGGACAGTAGAAAACGCACCGCTGCTGTGGCTTTGGCGCTCGTGCGAAAGTTTGACATTCCTCGGCATGAACCCCCGAGCTGACTAACATGGATCGATCCAATGTGACTACAAGAACCCCTGGATTTACGGAATGCCGCAAAGCCATTATACATTTTCCATGTCTGCCATGGAACCCAAAAGGCAATCAAGACAGCCAAAAGGAGTTTCTCTAAGAGTGTTTGGGGTCCGTGTTTCCCCTCTTTAGGTCGGGTTAGTTCAACACAAATGTTAATCAGCTAGGTTCGATTCGACTTTCTTGTTTCATTTCATGAAACCTTGCCATGTGCATACGCGAGTTTCATACAACCCTGAAATGTGCGCAGCGCAATTCATGAAATTTGCAACTCTGTGACATGTCTTCGATCTCAAGAGTTCGAGGTATTCAAGGTGGTACCCGGGCTGCCCTCGACAAGGGTCGGCGAGGAAAAGGTCATCGACAAAAGCGGCTCCATCTGTTCTTGAGCCCTGGCCCCGGAAGACCCGGCCGGCCAAAACCGCCCCGGGACCGGCAAAAACCGCCCCGAGACTGGCCAAAACCGCCCCGGGACTGTGAAACTGTCTTGACTGTGAAAGAGCGTTTCATCAATTGAGGGCACATGCTGCTTTATGAACCCTGCCACTTCATGAGTCCACAAAGTCGATCCACGGACCAAGTTTCATGATTTTGCGGATTGGATTCATGAAATGACGCTTCCAGGCCGGAATTGTCAACATCTCCGGGGCGGTTTTGGCCGGTCCCGGGGCGGTTTTTGCCGGTCCCGGGGCGGTTTTGGCCGGCCGGGTCTTCCGGGGCCAGGGCTCAAGAAAAGATGGAGCCGCGTTTGTCGATGACCTTTTCCTCGCCGACTCTTGTCGAGGGCAGCCCGGTTACCACCTTGAACACCTCGAACTAGAAGACCGAAGAAGTGTCGCAGAGTTGCAAAATTTCATGAAATGCGCTGCGCACATTTCAGGGTTGTATGAAACTTGCGTATGCACATGGCAAGGTTTCATGAAATAAAACAAGAAAGTCGAATCGAACCTAGCTGATTAACATTTGTGTTGAACTAACCCGACCTAAAGAGGGGAAACACGGACCCCAAACACTCTTAGAGGAACTCCTTTTGGCTGTCTTGATTGCCTTTTGGGTTCCATGGCAGACAGACGTGTACAAGCACGTAACTTGTGGAAAATGTATAATGGCTTTGCGGCATTCCGTAAATCCAGGGGTTCTTGTAGTCACATTGGATCGATCCATGTTAGTCAGCTCGGGGGTTCATGCCGAGGAATGTCAAACTTTCGCACGAGCGCCAAAGCCACAGCAGCGGTGCGTTTTCTACTGTCCATGACCGGGTCAGAGCAATCGCTGCTGCAGGTGGCAGCAGGCCAGCTTCAGATTTTGCCTAGCGCGGCAAAAGGCGCCGAAGCAATCGGTTCGAGCTTGGGCCTGGTCTCGGATCCAAGGTGAGCATTGCTAACTCAACCCTAGCTAACAGCATTGAAGGCTTGGCCGCAAGGCGTTTCGATAATCAGCTGTTACAAGCACCACTGCCGCTTAAGCAAAGGTGCAGCGATTTGATCGGCTCTTGCTTTCGATGGTTTGTTGCAATTTCCCTGATCTGCTCGTTGTTGAGGGCACGGCCGCCGCATACAAAGCAGTGGGCCAAACCGTTTTTGGGCATGAGTGAACCTTGCCTGCCCTGCGCAGTCCTTTGAAGTCACATGCCCAAAAAAGCAACCGTTGGGAGGTCTCCCAGAAGGGCAACCAACACAAAGATCCTTCAATATTCCCGGTTGAGCCTTCAGCCTTCGCTATGTTCACCACGTTATGGCTGCAATTCCAAAAGTCCATTTTCTGCGGGCCAAAAAGAACATTCGAGAAAAGCGGCTCCAGGTCGCATCGCAGGCGAGGCGCATGCCTGTTTTGCACCTCAACTGATGCGATTGGCGCGGGAGGGCGCGCCTGAAATGCGGGATGTGCCCAGGTCGGTTTATGCCACACTCAGAGGCACGCTTTCTGTGCCCAAATGCTGCCAGAGCGGGCAAAGTGCAATTTCCGCCCCTGGCCTGAAAAACCGCCCCTACAAGAAAGAACCTGTTTTTTCCTAAGGGCAAAACAGCACACTGGTGAAGACGCAGGTAATGACCTTTGAAATCTTTACAGGGGGACTCTGTTGTTTAAATATGGTTCGTGTTGGGCTCAACTTAGCTCATTTGTAACCATGATGTCCGCTGTGCGCGGCTGCATAAGAGAGCTCGACGGGTCGGAGCCGAACGCAAGGGGCAGTTTTGTTGGTCCGGGGCTGTTTTCTATTTTGGGGTCAAAAACTTTGACACCTAAGCCCCGGGGCGAAAATTCGGCGCCCCCGGAAGATCTAGGTTGCTCTCCAGACATTCCCTGCCGGCTGCTTGGACTGGAGTCCGGTGGCTCCAACTTGGAGGTCTCCCAATTCACCCAGAGCCAAGGGTTCAGCACAAAAGATCCGGACCTAAGCATCAAGAGCTGCGATTGGTAGGGAATCTGCGGAATGAACCCAACAAATTCCCTCAAAGGAAGCCACCAGTTGGATGGTCTATGGTCATTCCCGCAGGGCTGCCTGAGATGTGGAAACCGACAGCCCACCCGGTTTTTATCATGGGCTTCCCTCCAAAAACCAGACCCCAGATTCCCAAGCCAAAAGCATTTGCTTTTTCCCGCTGCGGGCTCGCTCCTCGTCTGCGTGATCCGGCAGCAAGTTGCTGGCCTCGTTTGCGCCGAGTCCCTGTGGCTTCAAAGAGGTTGGTGTCCTTCTGGTTGTCCGCAAAATACTACGAGTTTTATTAGGGCACCACCTAGTTCGCCTGTGCAAGCACGGGCTACCCTTAGTTGGTGGTTTGGGTTGGTGGCTCAGATTTGGATCTGAACCCCTTGAAAAAAGGGGGTCCACTCATGGTCCACCGCCGGGGGCGGGGGGGGGGGGCTTGGGCTGTCAAACCCCTCTTTTTCGGATACTGCCTCTAGAAGTGCGGCGCTTTGGGTGGCAGGGTGCAACAGGGGCCAGAGGTTTGACCTGGCCTCTGTGACTTGCAAAGGGGGCCACACGGGCAAACTATGGCTAAATGGCTCATTCATTGGGGGCCAGTGGAGGGAGGATTCACAGGTCCGGAGTCCTGCTGGTTGCAAAAAATGATGCATGCCCCTGGGAGGTCAAACAGGATTCGCCATCTGTTTTCGGAAATAACAACAAACACCCTGCATATGGCTATATGGCTTACAGTCATAGTTGCCATCGGAATGCTTATACATGGTGCCTGTTTCGCCTCCTCAGCACAGTACTTGGCATAGGTTTGATGGCTCTACAGACGAGCATGCCGGCCCTTTTATATGTTTGGATAGTTTGGAGCTTGGTGGTTGCGAGCTCTTCTAGTCCATGAAAAGTGGATTTGGACCCTAAAAAGTGGGTCACCCAAAACGAGTCTCAAGCCCATGCGTTCGTGAGAAACGCCCGCAGATGTCCTGCGGTTCAGTAAGGAGCGACTACGCACCTAGGATCACTTAAAAGAAGCAACAAGGAATGGCTTTGTTTTATGTGTCGTGGGGTTCCTCCTTGGGTTTTTCAGGGAATGGTCGACTTCCTTTGGAGGGAAGGGCACTGGCTCAAGCTAAAGTCCTGAGGCTGGAGATGTTCCTTTAAACACGCGCGGGAGAACTGTCTTTTGTTCCCTTCGAGGTGGAGTGATGTTTAAAGAGGTTCTTTGGGGACAAATGGCGTCATTGTTTTGTGCATGGAGTGCAGCAGCGTATGAGGAGTGGAATTTCAAGTTGGGCTGCCATCTTGACACAACTCAAGATCAAGACGCCAGGGTCAAAATACAGGCAGCCTCGCAAACTATGCCATTCATCTCTCTCATTCTTGTTCCGCATCCTAAAGTAATTTCTAGATGATAGGATGTGAGAATGAGATAGGTGAGCAGGACGTTACCGAACCACCTTTCAGGATGGATCAGAGAAAGCCCAGGAACGGAACACCCAGAGTGTCAGCCCAAAGAGTGCCTGAGCAGGAGCCCCTTGCATCTTCCAAAGCCAGCGATTCGAAGAAGAAGGATCCGAAGCCGGATGGTCTTTGGACATCTGTTCTCCTTTGGTATTTGCTCCAAGAAAATGGCGGGTGTCTTCTCATTGATATACTCATATCCCCAAGAAAACCATGGCTCTGGAGAGGCCCATGCCATCCAACCTCCAACCGAAAGTGCCACAGCGCGATCCATGGAAGCCGGACACCGGCCTTCGGCGCCAGCTGGCTGTATGGCGTCGATTTTTGGGGGGACGCCCGTTTGGTGCTGCAGGAATTGGCGCCACCGTTGTTGTGTGTTGTGGCCTCTTTCCGTTCAGGTACCCCAACCTACCTGAAACGGCGGCTTCCGCGGGTTCAAGCCGGGGGCCCGCGCCCCGTGCACCCGGGGTAGGGGATGCTCCTGCGTCACTGCCCCATAGAAGAACTCCTGGCGCGCGGAGAGAGCTTCGAACAACTCCTCCCTGGTAAATGGATGGCATGAAACTTATTAAACCAGTGGAACCCGTCTAATATCAACCAAACCAACCTAAACACTTTTCCCAGGAATCTGAGTTCCCAAAAAGGTCCAATCCTTTTAAGAGGTCGTAGAATTCGTGGCTTCTTGGGTTCGTGAAAACTGCAGGAAGTGGTGAAACATACCCTCCCGAGAGTAGACATCTGAAGCTGAAAGACATTATCTGGAGGAAATGGTCCAGGCGAGATGAGGCTTAAAATTGGGTTAGCCCCAAAAACGGCGCAACGGGCTCCTTGTTTACCTTGCAAAAACCCACCAAGAAGGGGTACCAACTCTACGGACAAGCTCTTTCATCCCTTTCGGAGGTGTCTCATACAGCGGCAACCCTCAGAAGGCAAGTTGGGTGTCCCTTGAAAATCGGATCCCCGACAAAATGCAGCTATAGTTCTTGCTCGTGTGGGTGTGTTCTTTTTAAGGTTGGACCGACCCCCCTTCAAAACAAACAGAAATATAACCAAAAGATGGAACGGTTTTCCTTTTGGCGTTCCTTTTGGTTTTCCTTTTGACACACCCACACAGTTGGATCCAAGCTTTTTGGCCATCAGACTCAGAGAAACCTCTCGCGATCGCTGGTCCTCGGCTTCGACGAATTTGCCTCTCATGTTGGCTCAGATAGTAAAACCCCAGTCGTAAGGATTTGGGTCTACCCAAAACTGCATATAATGTTGGCCCCAGAAAATCATGCCCAGTTTATTAAAGGGGGGGTCCTTGGTTTTAGTGGAGAATCACTTCTGCAGAGCAACACCCCTCATATTAATAAACAAGGGTTTATTAAGCCGGGGTCAGCAACCAGGGTACTCAAAAAATGACCAAAACCTTGGGGCCCGTTGGTTCCATGGTTGTTCACTTTTGACGAAAAAAAAAACATGGGAACTCAGAAGTTGAAGCTTCAAGACACTCGAGTCGCCTTCACAATTTAGCAGCAATGTCGGGTGGGAAAATACAAACTTTGAAGCACTCCAAACTGGTAAAGCAATGATTTAACGCGAAACAAGATATCCCAGATGCAAACCAACCGCAAACTTCAACCTCCAATGAAAATCTCAAATTTAACGGACCCAATCAAAGTTTGAGTTTTGAAATGCTGCAACAAACCCGAATCGACATGCTGTACCCGGGCCCAACAAGGACTATCCAGGTTGGACATGTTGATGTTGCTCGTGAAAAAAACCACACCGAAAGAGGGCGGACCACCCAAAATGGCTTCGGCTTTCGTGCTGATGTCCCTTTAACCCAACCCAAAAAGGGCTAGCAACTCAAAGAAGACAGACCCATGTGCAAGAAAGTTCCAACCCGTTATTTAAAAAAATCCAGTCATTGCAACCGAAGGTCCATGACGATATGCTTCCCCAGGAATCGGCAAAAAAGACCTGCTGTTACAAAGACTCGGATCCTCTAAAACAGCTGGTCATGCTTGAACTGGCCCAAATCCATCAAGACTTGCAAAAGAAGAGATCCCCAAGTGAAAAGATATCCTCCTGTGGTGAGCCCACTATCCCTCGAAGATGTCGCCATCAGATTGGCGGATCCTTGAAGGAATCCTGAGCATGGAAGCAAATCCTTCTCTCCTTCACCAGCAAGCGCCGGTCGAATTGCGCGTTCTCCTCGCCGGCATCCTGAAAAGCAAAAACTTGCCCCGGAAATCGAAGTTGTTTACCTTGTGTGACCTTGACTCAGTATGGACCAACATGGAAAAAACGCGAGGTCATTTCAGGTCGATTTGCGCTGGGCACATTAGAAAATTTGAAATTCCATCTTGGAAGAACAGGGTACAACAAGGCGACCTTGGTTGCGTCCCAGTTTTCAGGTGGGTCCCGAAGTCAGCTAAAACAAGCTAAAACGCATATTCTGGAGAATCGACTGAACAACTAGAGAAAGCCTCAAAACCTCCCAGGATGAGCAGTGCCCAAAAACTGTTGACTGGTGGTTCTACTAAGATGGACACCTGGGGGGGAGGGTTATATGTCCTTCCCAAACGAACCAGAGACTGCTAAACATTGTGGTCAAGCCTCATGCGTTTGTGATGTTCACACTGCCCCTTCCCCACTCTTCACTTCTAGCTTCGACAAATTTTGGGTGACCCCGATCCCCCCCTGGGGCAAAGACGACCTGCGGCGTTTGCAGATGCATGGGGTCGATGCAAAAGAAGGCCACCCTGCCCAAAAAAATGAAAACGGATCGTGACCATAGTTCAAGGCTACGTCAACTTCTCTGCTTCGCTCAAGACCGACTTTCCACTAAAAGCTGGGAGACGGAACTCGGTTCGAAGTTCCAACTCATTCCCTGAAAGTCTCAGATGCGTGAATTTCCATGGGACAAACCGGGGCGTCCTTGCTTGGTTGAGTTTCCGGAACCCTTCCCACCAAAAATCCCCGCCGCTGGGCGCTGGGAAGTAGGGCTTTGGCCCGGGGAAAATTCGAAGATCGACAGCTTGGTTCAGCTGAAAATGGCAGAAAGCAACCATAGTACTCAAAATGTCCAGCATTTGCTTGGGCATGGTAGACTCGCCGATTTCCCCACCAGAGTGCCGTGGTTTCCTTTTTGGTTTTCCCCTAAGAATCACCAACCAAAAGGATAACCTCAAACAAATGCAGACCCTTTCGCGGAAATCCTGTTGGTCATGGTCACTCGTTCTGCGAGCTTAACCTCAGGGGGGCCGCGGGAGGTGCTCAGGCTGGCGCAGTGACAACGTCATCCCAGTCGACGACGAGCCCATTGTACACCTGACTGAGAACCCCCCCTGCAAGTGCTTGCAAGATGAGAAGCACTCTCAATGAACGTGCGTCCAAAACCATGGGAGGGGGGAGGGGTCCTGCCTGTTGTCGAGCGGTTTGAGGGGAACGAATGGGGAAAAAGAAACGCCAGTTGCGAGGCGTGGATTCCGACTTTGAGACAAACACCTGGTCCAGGGACCCGTACACTTAGTGAGCTGACGTCAAACCATGGCCCCAGGTCACAGGGGTGACGTTGTGCTTCAGGTTGCGGCCAGGAGCTTTTTCCGAGCTCACGAAAACTAGGAGGAAGGGCTCTCTTCGGTCAAGTGGGTCCCTGGTGCAAACCGACCCAAAAGGCTTCGTCTTCTTTCCACACGGAATCCAACTATGTTCGCTAAAAAAAAAAAGAAAGGCCCCAAACAAAGCAGACTGTTTGATTCCACTCAGCCAAAATCTTCGACATTCCCGAAGCCTTTCTGGGCTGAGACCCCAAAGCTTTCAGCTGTTGGGGAAAAAAGGCGTTCCTTGTGGCTTCTCTTCAAAAGTCACAAAGAAGGGCACCCTGAAAAAAGGACAGACCAATGTGCAGCCACTGGAAATATCGCCCAGGCTGTTCCCCGGGTTGAGACATCGTGCAAATGGGCCGACCGCTTCCATGATACAAAACACATCCACAAAACCATGACCCACTCTTTCTTCAGAACTGATTTTTGCTTTTGGGCACACCATAAAGGTGACCTGGAGGTCAACCAGAATGGGCTTGGGGTTGGAACAACATGTTTGAGGTTCTTTCCGCAAAGGTTTCCAGCTGTCATAGATTCCCTCCAGAACCAACGGGAGCAAATCCAATCTGTCCCATTGGTAACCCGCGCACTCCATACCATCGCCCCGGGGCTTCTGAAAATTGGTGACCCCTACAGGTAGGCTGTTGGTTTCAACTTGGGTTCCCTTTGAAACTATGTCCAAAAAAAGGGGTCAACAAATTCCAAAAGCATCCATTCCAGCCAGGCGGGCCACAAATTCCAACCATTCCAATCCAGAAAAGTGGTCTGAATCCAAAAAAAAAACATCCATTCCAGCCAGCGGACGGAGATGTTTTGGGGGGGGGCGTCCATCTCGCCAAAAGCCTCGCCTTGAGCTGCTCGAGGCGGCCGTGGAACATGTCTCTCTCCGGCCAGCCTCAGAGCAACCGAGCCGAGGCCGAGCGGAGGGGGGCACTGTTGGGTCCTATTACCTGGGCTGATTTGTGGATTTGTGAACTTAGTTGTGTTTATCTATTTGTTTTGCTTTTTAGTTGTAGTTGTTTGATTTTCTTTGAAAAAACAATCTTTTTTGGGGGGAAGGGGGGGGTATCCTAGATATGCCAGCTATCAGCAAGGGGCTTTGGCTGGAAAACTGGGGTGGGATGTTCTTAAGGCCAGAAGAAAACTTGTGCACTGGCCAAACGGGGGGGGGGGGGGGGGGAAGGGGGGCCCCAGTTTTCAGTTGAAACACTCATGGAAGCCTGACAAGCAGAGGCTTGGTTGCAAAGCGCTCTGGTTGACTCCTTGAATCCACCCCTCTGGGCTTCGGAAGCTTCCTTCAAGCACAAGATGTGAGAGCGGGGCTTTTCCGAGGGCCTTGTATCATGTGGCCATGGGTCAAAATCCAAATCATACCCCCAGTGAACATCCCAATCCCCACTAAAATAGACTAGAATGGGTGGTGCACCTACCCCAAAATGGTACCATTGGTTTTGACCCACAGCCATATCATGAAAGGGTACCAGGGTGCCCCAGCGCTGAGTATTGCAACTCAACCCGGGGGAGGTGGAGCCTTGCATCGCCCCATGTGGCCATTCCATATGCCGGGTTTCTAAAAATGGGTGGACCCATGTTGCTTGGAAGCCAAAATGACTGCCCCCACTTTGGGTGTTCCCACATCTTGAGACATATTTCACCTAAATGTCACGGCCCTGTCGGCATGAGAAGAAAAAACCAAGCAAACCCGCCACCCCTTCCAAAAAAGAACTGGCAAAAGCTGGCCTTGCCACAAGAAAGGGGGCTAGGGGGCAAACCGCACATCCATGGAGACCTTCTGCTTTTGCTTGTGCCAGTCTTTTGGACATGGCGGCCAATAAATCCCACTCGGTTCCCTTCAAAGATTGAGTCCCTGAAGGGACCCTGGGCAAAACACTAGGATGATCATACGGGCCACATGTATTTTGACACACGCACACACACACACACACACACACACACACACACACACACACACACACACACACACACACACACACACACACACACACACACACACACACACGTGTGTGTGGGTGTGTGCATGGACGTAATCTTGGTACAAATGCATGCCATGTGCTTGTGGAAGACAATCAGCACACAGCGCCTACCTACTCGCAAACAAGGGATCGTCCAACAGGAGAGTCCTTCTATGCTATGCGTTGTTGCTGGTTCGACTTGTGGAACGTGGCAAACCCCCGCCCTAATAAAAACAGGATCGCTCACCCCAAATGAGAGGATGTCGGTGTTCGGGACTTCCCAGCAAAACCCATGGCGCAATGGCATTCTGCCACAAAGCGACAACATAAAACCAAGGATTCACTTCCGATCGAGCAGATGGGCCAAGAACAGGTCTGAACTTGTTTACAACCAAAAATGGTCCAAACCCCAAAAGAGTGACTAACCGGAACGGAACTCTTCAAATGGCGATTTGAGTTGCAACCCAAGAACCGCCGCTGGGCCTCAATCCAGCCCCAGAGAATAGGCGCCTCTAAATGATGGCATGACAAGTCATGGCTCATGAAAAACCGTCTCAACATTTAAAAGGCCTAATTACCCTTTCCCAGAATAACATGACAGCTCCCGGGACCCCTTGGGACGGCCTGGTCGGAGGCTTCTGGGAGCATCCATGTTCGCCTGAGGGGGTGGAATTGACATGAATATCGAGATGTCAAAGACGCTATGGCCCATACCTCCCAATGAAACCCAGACTCCATTTCAGGCTCAGGCAAGACTTTGCCACGTAGAGGTACTTCCTCGCGCGAAAATGGAAACCACTGGAGTTCTCTCACTTGAAGTTTGGATCTCAGTGTCACCAGTGCATGAGAACCCATGTTTCTGTTTTGCCTTTGTGGGGTGTGGTTCAGGTGTAGTTATACCCATGTTTCTGCGGTTGTTTGGGTTTTGTTTTTTCTGCGGCGGTGGTGAGTGGTTCTTTTGATGGGAACCTATTCTTTGAGTTTTGCAGACCTCGCAAGAGCTTTGCCAACACATGAAGCTGCGGTAGGCGTAAACGGAGCCCCCCGTCTTGCTCGGCCTCTTGGCAAAAAAAAAAACGGATCGCTTGTTGTGGGTCCAATTCGGACAATTCGACCTACTTTGACCAAAGACTTAAAGTCCATAGCAACACCATGGAAACCAGTACTGGGCTGTCCTCAGACCCTGCTACAAGTTTGACTTGTAGTGGGTTAAGCGGACACCCAAAAGACTGAGGCTGGGAACCCCCAAGACTGGAGGAATACAGGGGCCTGGCAGTAGGAACCTCCCATTTGCCTCATGTGCTTAGTGGATTTTGCAGCGGCCAATCGTTCATGGTCCCAAAAGCCCAGTTCCGCCAAAGAACCTGAACGGACCTCTAGGGCTCGCCGAGGGCGCAAAACATCTGCTGGACACTGGATCTTGGACACCCGGGTCGCTGTCAACAAGAAAACAATGCCACTTACAGCCGACAAGTCCCTGTGCTTCCCTTGAAAAATATGGTAAAGATGCTGAAGATCTCACTGCAACCTAGTCCTCGTGTTGACCTAAACCTCCAGCCGCGGATGTAAACAGCAACAGCTGTTTTCACAGCTGCGCCCCAAAAACCGAGGACAAAAAGGACGTGTTCTCCCCCCCCCCACCCAGCACAAACAACAAAAGGGAGCCCCAGGATTTAGTGGATTTCCCTTTCAAAACTTGCAATTTGCTGGTGTCCATTCAAACGACCACCGCTTTCAGAGGCTCCGAAACGGGAAACGCGGCAAGAGACCCCAAAGGGTATTGGGTCAGGTGGCCCGGAAGCATGCAAAAACGTTTAATAAACCCTGACACCTCTCCCACCGGATGAAAAACAAATCGTAAACACGTCAATGTCCCTGCTCAAGCGTGGCTTCTGCTTCATAATCTCTCCTGTTAACCTCTCGCGCGCGCGATGCTGTGGCTTGATGCTGCGCGTGAGGCTGTGCATGATGTTGCGCGTAATGTTGCACATGATGTCGCATGATGTGGCGCACGATCCAGAGCATGATGCGCAGCTGCGCATGATGCTCTGCAACCTCTCTTGCCAAATCTTTCCTGTCCTCTCTTGAAAAACTCTCTTGTCCGTCTGTGTGCGCAGCTTGGCTGCGCAAGAAGGCTGGCAATTTTAGCGGCGGAAGTGTACTTCGCATACTACTTGTGCGCTCACAAGTTGTGATTCTCGTGCTGCAGGTTAATTTGCGTGCCGCTTTTCCATTTTAAAGTGCGGCTTTTTCGGGCTGGAGATGCGAGAACGCGCTTAGCCATTTATGATTTTGCAGCCGTAGCTGCGGGAATGCACTTTGCGTACAACTTTGGACTTAAATGTTGCGAGGCTCGTGCCATAGGAACGCACTTTGTGCGCTCTGTTGACACTTAAAAGCTGCAGCTTTGCAGCCGGAGCTCGGGAGCGCACTTCGCGCGCGACTTTTGTACTTAAAACTTGCCAATTTCGTGCGGGAGCTGCGGGAGCGCACTTCGTGCACTACTTTTGCATTGAAAAGCTGCGATTTTCGAATTTCATCCTGTACTACTTGATTGCGATTTTGCACTGGAGTGCTCTTCGCGTACTACTGTTTTGCGCTTAAAACTTGCGAGCTTTCAGCCGGAGCTGGGGGAATGTACTGCGCGAACTACTTTTGTGCCTAGAAGTTGCGAATTTTGAGCCGGAGCCGCGGGAACGCGCCTCGCTTGTCGCACGGCGCCACAGCGAGCGCGCTTGACATCAAAAACGCACTTTGATCTCAAAAGAAGCGCGTTTGGCGCCAGGCTTCCTCAAAAAACCACTCCGCATCGTCACGGGAACCTCCGTGCACTGAGGCTTCCTGCAAAAGTGCCAAAAAAAACGTGTTTCGAGCGAGCCTTCCTGAAAAAACATAGCGCGAACCTCCGTGCGGCACGTCCCTGCCAACAAACGCCGAAAAATGAGCACGGCACCACAGCGAAAGCGCACGCACCAGCACGAACGCAATTTCGCGCGTAACTGTTGCATCGAAGACAGCTTTTTACGCGCGGGGCCAGTTCGTAAACGAAAGCCGGGGAAAACTCCCGAGGCCGAGACCTAGAAGCAACCCCCCCGCAAAAAGGAATAACCCAAAAGCGAGCAGGGGCCCGGAACCCGCGGAAACCACAAAAGGGGGAAAACCAAAAGAGCGAAAAACCCCAGGGGAGCCCGGCCTCAACCCAAAGAGTTGTCCCGCCACCCAGACTACGTTGCCAGCGCTATTCACAGGCACTTGAGCACGATTCCTCGATCTAGCCCGGCCTTAGCTCTTAGCGTAAGAACCCTTTCGTGCAAGCACTATTTGGGGGAAAAAGACACAGAGGTAGCCCTAACAAGGCTTCAGGGAAATCCAACCCCAAGGTATCGCAAACCGGCCTGGGCAGGGCTTCGCTGGGTGGAAGGCCGTTGCACTGACCTGACGAGAAAGGGCACCCCTCGGCTAAACTTTTGGAGAACAAGTGGAAACCTATGCGCCCCTTCCTTTTCCTCCATCTGTCTTTTTGTCCCCTGGAAAAAATGAGAAAATATGTCCAGCAATCATAGGCTCCCTTTGAAACAGCCGCCAGAGTTGCTGGTTCCGTGATATGTTGATCTGCAGGGAAGTACAGACCCACTTGGATGTTCAGAGCAAAACAACCTAACTTGGGCAGTACTATCATATGTTTTCTACATGGCTCATACATACTCAAGTTGGGGGAAGGGGGGCCCCTAGAATCCAATTTGTAGCTCCATTTGGGTGTGTCGTTCTTTGAGGTTCCTCTGCAAGAGAATCTGGTTTGACCCTTTTGGAGAGCCTGGTATGGGAAATCTTTAGGGGCCCAGCGACGACCAGGAAAACCCCCTGAATCAATTTGGTATGTGCCCAAAGGTCCACCGTGGGCACTTCCAACATGATGGCATGATCTGAGTGCCCGCATTTTGAGCAAACCCTGCGTCTCTCCTCTCGGCATCAACTACCAGGACGGCGCAAATTGACTCTAATCATGAACCAAAGATGGTTAAGTTCTTCAAAAAAGGAAACATGGGGTGCCAACACACGAAATACAAGGGTTCTGCCAAATGGAGAATTTGTGGGGTCGCACTGGGACAAATGATCTCACAGATTTCCGCGCTGGGCCGCTTGACGCCAAGAAACTCACCGTAAATCGTGGAGCTCGAACAGAAAGAGTCTCCAAGCGGCTTGATCAACGCGGGTTCCCAGTCATAGGTGTGCTTTTAGGGGCAATAGATGGCCCTGTAGATGATTAAACCACCAGGCAAAGCAGGAATCGCCCTCTATTTTTTGACCAAAACAACCAAAATGGTCACCTGTGTTCCCAGTCACTTCGCGGCGCAAAAAACAAAGAAAACAAAAGCACTCGCGGAGCATCCCTCCCGGCCGGCGGGGCCGACGGCCGGCCGGCCGACTTGGGGCGGCCTATCACCTCGCTCCCGCGGAGGACTTGCATCACCCCATCCTCCGACACGGTGCAGAGGTACCTGCCGGGCCAGGCGGCCAAGCGGATCGGTGGCCAAGTGGCTCGTCTTTCTTGAAGAAGCTTTTTGGCTTGCCGCGTTGAAAAAAAAAGGAAAACCACCCAGTAGAACACAAAAACTCAAGTTAGTAAGCGGCTAGCCACTTGGAATGGTTCAGCCCTGATACGGCTAACCCCACATTCACGGGGGACTGTTTTCAGTGGGTAACCTAGCTTAGCAACGCAACAAACGCCAAACACTCCTGCGCGTTCTTTCCCCTGAAAGACCAGTCAGGGGTTCCCCATCACTTTGGGGGTTCAAATGTTTTCGGGGCGCTTTCAATGGGAGTCTCGCGGATTCACCCACATTGCAACTCGCAAAAGAGGAACCCCGGCTGTATGGAACTCCGCACGCGTCCATGCCGCAGTCATTTGACGCGCGTTGCGCGTGGGGGGTCCTGTGCGCATCGATATCTGTTTGACGCCATTGTACGAAATCCACGGCGGAGACGAAGAAAGCCTAAGAACATGAAGAAACCACCAAGCAACTGGTGCCCGGGGTTCATCCATCAACACTACGGTCCAACATCCCCACAACCACTGGTCATCGAACAAGCCAACAGGGGCATCCTCACAGTAGACTAAGCATACCCTCCTTCCAACAAAAGAAGTCAAGGCTTCCCCAAAAAAATGCTATCTGCCAGTGGATTCAGCAGCGCATGACAGGAAACCTGCTCAACTCTCTGTTTAAAGGTTCTACTTGGGTGTTCTCGCCAAGTTCGCAAGTGGCTGGCAACCGTTCGTTCAAAACTAAGTCTTGCTCGATTTACCCCCCACCCCCAGAAACAGCGAGCTCCTCGTAATTCGGCCCCAGTTGTCCTGTCCCCCAAATGGGTGTATGTTTCGGGGAACCCTCACTGGGTTGGTTTCGAAGGGAAACGAAAAGGAAACCAAGCACCAACAATCACTCCCTGAGAGAAACACCCCCATATCTGCCGGGAACCCTCATGCTGGCCCGTGTTCTTGATCCCCCCCCCCCCAACAAAAAAAGAAAAAGAAAAAAAGAACCGCAAATAACCCCCCCCCCCAAAAAAAAAAAAAACATGAAAAAAAGAACAACAAACAACCCCCCCAAAGAAAAAAAGAAGAACGAACAGACAACATAACCCCCCCCCCAACAAAAAAAAAAGAAGAAGAAGAAGAAGACGCCCCTCATCTTGTAATATGAGAAAAGCCGCCCCGACTCCGACGCCGGCCCTTGACTTTGGGACTCCTCCGGTCGCTTCGCTTCCAGCGGCGCACGTGCAGGGCTCCCCGAGCTTCAGGACCCCGGGCCTGGGGGGTTGCGGGTTGCATCCCCGGAAACCACCAGCTCCACCAAAACAACCAAAAGGGACACCTGAGCTCAGAAAAATGAGGTCATGTCTGGGTTCCCCTAAAAGGCAACTCCATTGTTTTTGCCCCGTATCCCTTCCGGACCCGCAGACGTCCGAGTTGTTTCTTTTGTTTAATCTTCTCCCAACTCAGGCCAACCGAGGCTGCGGCGCAATGACCCGATACGGCTTCCCAAACCTGGCCCAGGCATCGCCGGGTACCGTAGGGAACCTCACCCAAAATCTGTGTGTCGTTGGCTCGTCTTTTTGGGAACGGTTGGACCCCCCAACCTGGCTTCGGTGGTCCGAGTCCTGAAAGTGTTTCTCCTGTAAAGTCCAATAGAAAGGGGTGCCAGCTCGCAAAATGGGACCGGATGCAGGGGTCTTTCTCCAAGAAAGACCTCCCCACCCCACTTTTGGTTGGACGTTAAGTGAAGCTTTAAAGGAAACACAACTCACCTGGTGTACCTGAATTGCAGATAAGTATGAACTTATGAGCCACTGTCAAGATAACGAAATCCATAGACAAATCGGGACTTTTGTGGTTGTCTCACAATGAAAAGGGGCCCTATGTTGTTTTTCTACCCCCCAAAGTAACCACACAAAAAAAACAGTCCAATTCCCACATCCTCCGTCGTACCGGCTCACATGAATTCGAAGCACCCCTTGAACTGAGATCTTGTGTATGACAGGCAGCCCACGTCCAATATGGCTCCCTGACAAAATCTACCTGGCTCTGCAGGATAGCCGCACCCACGGTCTTCGCACTCAAAATAATAATCTCTCCAAGACCCAGCCATGTGCCCTTCCCACATGGACCATTGACCAAACCTCTGAGGGGTGTTCAAAAGGCCCCAAATCGGGACCAGGGTGCCCAACAGGGTCTCTTGTTGAAGGCGTCATAGGGTCAAACAAAAACAAGCTTCGCGTGCATGTGTTTAGAGGTGGGGCACGTTTCAGGTTGGGTTAATAGGAAGCCAAAGGGCAGATACGGGTGTCCCCGAAAAAAGCATGAAGCATACCCCAATGGACCACCCTCGCTCGCCTGTAGACCTCGAAGACCAGGGAGTTGAATCTCCCCTGGTTCGCGATGGTGATGTTGTCCTGAGACGAAAGAAGCCGAAGCCGGCGGCCTGCCCAGACCATTTCCTGATTGCTGTTTGGGTGTGGGTCAAAATTAAACCACCAGGGAACCGCAGGTAGTCCATGCTTCCATTTGCCAAGGTTCCATTTTGGCTACCCATTTTTGACCCATATCCTTTTTGAAGGCTGGCCAGGTGTTCTGCTGCCTATACTCGTACATGGATCGGAGAAAATCGGGATCGATGCCCATGGAAATTTGTCTCCCGTGCCGGCGTCCCATGTCAACCGAGCCCAGTCATGCGCTGGCCCATTGCCGAAGTCGATGATCGAGCTCCAGTTGTTGAACCTCAGCATCAAAGATTCGGTGTGTCTCAACATGGGGATCTGGACCCCCCCCAAAAAAACGAAGAAAACAAGAGGCGTTTTCCTTGTGAGGTTTCCCTTTAAAGCCACCGGAAGAGGTACCAACTCAACCACACACACTCATTGCCCCACAAAGATGTTCCAAGTACCTGTCGCTATTCGACCAAAATGGCGGAAGTTGGCGCCAAGTTGCCCGGTCCCCTGCATTGGCCACACAAAAGCACCTTCTGTGAAGCGTTTTACGCGGGATTTACTTCAGACCATACCCGAAAGAGCTTTGCAGGCGGCTCCAACTACGGGGTCCTCTGAGAGTAGGATTTCAGCCAACCCTTGTTAAATGGTTCACCGAGTGTTGAAGAAAACTCCACTTTGGAGTCCCTTTGAAGGGCACAAGGGGGTTGCTCCTCTCAACAAATCTTGCCCAACTCGTTGCCGATTCACCACCCCAACCCCCCCCCCCCACAGAAAAGAATGATGGCGCAGCAAATTGATGATTAGTAGGAAGACGAATTAAAAAACCAATCAACCCTAAGGGCTCCCGATGCTTTTTGGGCCCTCAAAATGGGTTGTTTTCAAGGGCCCCTGAGGGTTGCGGGTTCTTCATTGGAGGGCCCTGCGTTGGAGGGGTCATGAGCCTTAGGGAAAGGCGATAGCAGTGACAGCCACGAGCGCTTCTTTTCACCCATCTGCAATCTGCTCGCCCGGGCCCGCGGCGAATCCCACCTGCGCAAGGTCCATATCCAAGGCCCGGGCAACCTATAGAGGCATACACAACCCGATCTCAGCTGCCAGCATAGTGGGTACCCAGCAACTTTGGTCCGTGTGCAAAGGGGTAGTCAGGCCTTGGTTACCTAGAAAAGTAAATGGAAGCACTGGGAAAACATTAGTTTTTGGAGATGTCCCAGGCTTCTTACTCATTACAGGTGTTCTTGGGAATCAATGGCACCAAACCTAGTGAATGGAACCGAAGCGAAATCAGTGGAATCCGTCTACAAACCAAACTGGCCCGAAAAGAACACCTATGACTGGTTTGTTGGCTTTACTATCATCTCCACGATTGAAGCCGGTGAGAACCCTTACAATAACAAAGTAGAGACTATAGATCTCAGAGCCCGTTGACTCATGGTTCAGGTCTGAGGGGAACTGCCGACCAACTTGGATATATGAGGACTACCAGGTATGACCATGATACTCAAGATGGACGAAATCCTACACCACCTAAGACACCCTGATTTCTGATGATTCCCCTGTAAATACAAACAAACAATAACTTCCCATGGTTTCAACCAGGTGCGAAATGGATTCCGTCCATCCGAAGTAATTCCCAATTACCTGATTGAAGGCCCAGGAAGGGAACGCCCCCTGAAATTTCAGGTCATGGGATTCTGGAGACCGTCTAGTCGTCTTTCAGCCGATGAAAGAATCCAACTTGGGGATGTGATTTTGTGGGACCGCAGCAGGGGCACAATCACCTTCAGCTTTTCAGAACAACATCATTTTCAACCCACATGGCCAAGCGTGAATCATAGGGGTTGACGCGCGTCCATGCCGTGCAAGGAAGGAAAGCTCTCTACAATTTCACAACAATGGTCTGGAGTTGGAGTTCTTGCATTTACCACTCGGGCAAGTCTGCTTAGTGGCATTCAAATGGAGAGTGCCCTGTGGACATCAGGCCAGAGTATCATGGCACATTATACATCTCGCCAAGTGATATGTGGCACTTCTGGCATAAGAACACAAATAGGTCGTTGTCAGTATCACGGACACTCCCAGGCTTGTTACACGCGAACACCCTTGTGGCTGAAACCTACAAAACCAAGATCATGGTCTGTGCTTTCTTGGGGGACCCAAATAAGAGTTGGCTTTTCACGGTGATCTCCCCTTTAAAAAAAAAGGGGGCACTCTCAATAAAGGGGCACACCAACATCGGAGCCGCCTCGCTGTAAAGAGGATGCTGACGCACGAGTGGAGCCTAGCGGGACCGCGCCCGGTCCTTTGGGGCGGATCTTCCCACGAGGTTGGGTGCAGAATGGGAGGGTCTTCTTTGTTCATTCTTGGCTGACTTTTCAAGGGAAAAAAATCAACAAAGACGCCGACCCCCGATGTGTGGCCCGCCTTTGATGCATCCAATTTGGAAGCAACGGGTCCCAACTGGGCCACTCCCTGGCACTGACAGAATTCACGGGTGTCCCTTGACAAAATGAATGACCCTGGATGAATCAACACCAGGAATCGCACATGTGTGTTGGTTTTGTTTACCAAAACAACAGCAAAGGACACCTATGCTCAACCTGAGGGAACTCTCCCTCATTTCGGTTGATCTCCTCTTAGCTTCCAAGTAACGAACCCCTTTCCACTGGGCTATATCCCAACCAAAAAAAGCTCTCGCACCGGCCCCTTCTACGCCCAAGCCCGCCTGCCAGCAAAGGTTTGCCGCAGGTCATCGTAGCCCGCCAAGTCACGGGTGCCTGCGGAGCGCCGCGGGGCTCGCCTCGATTTCGCTTCGTGTTGTTTTTTCGCCCCCCAGAAGAAATAGGAGGAAACATACGTGTCCAGAGGAGGAGTCCAACTTTAAAACCTATTCTCGAGCGGCAATGGAAGAAAGATGGGTGTGTTTTTGTTTGAAGGCTGGGCTTACGGAGGGGAAAACTCGCGAGCCGATTTCCTGAGAGGCTTTACCCAAAAAAGAAACTGACTAAACTTGTGCCCCTGAGTGGCTCCCTGGCTGTTGTCCTTTTGGCTTTAAAGGGTTTCCCTGGTCACCTGCTGATAAGGGGCTAAATGGGTGTGAATCAAAATTCCACGACCCAGGGTTGCCCAGGTTCTTTGTTTCCATCTACCAAGGAGTCATTTTGGGAACTCCATTTTTGAGCCACTGTCAAATATTTATTTGTATGGTGTTTCCATGCTCATGTACATTTTGTGGTACCCCCAACCCATTCTAGGAAGTCTAGTCCCTTGTATTACTCACTGAAACCGCAAGAGTTGCTGGTTTGGGCGGCTTGGGCCTCTGGTTTGGATGCGGATTTGAACCCTGGTTATGGTAGAGGGTCAATGGGAAGCCCCTTTTGTCTTGCTGGTGAGCAGGGAATGAGGGAATGACACCCACAAACCATCCCTTGCAACTTCCTTTAAGGGAATCCCCAAGACCGGTTCATTCCCTGTCATTCCCTGCCTATCGCACCAGCAAGTTGTACTGTGGATGGTTGCGAAATCCATCTCGCACCACAAAATGAGTTTCCATGGTTGAAACCAGAAGGGCTCCTGAACGGTGCGAACGGATTTTGTCCATCAGGGACAGGAGTCACCGGTCGCGAAAATCAATTCGCTCGGCGCCATCGTCGCCTGCAAAGTCACGGGCGACCAATTCGATCACCGGGGCCTGCGATGCGATTCCATCGACTCGACTCGCCCAAAGCGACGCGGCACGCGCGCGCGACACCGACTCCCTTCCCTTACCCACGGCCCCAGGTGTCCCCCACCACCACCCGAAAAATAAAAAAGAAAAGAAAAAACAGGGGTGTAAGGTCAAACCGTGTCACAGTTGCTGGCGGGGTCTACGTATCATTTGCCGTGAAAGTCCAAGGGAGCGATTTAGGGGTACCCGAATCGACCCGGATCCCCAAACCGCAAAGAGGGACGTCTTCCCACAATTCTACTTCGGTAGACGTGGGAAGTAAAACGAATGACTAAACCAGTATGGCGCAATTGTGCCATCCAAGTGAGCAGCGCCCAAACCCCATTGACTCTCGGTTGGTCACAAAGGCTATATCAGCCATGGTAAAATCTCCTGATATGGCCTAAGCTCATGGTTCCCTGACAGGAATCATTACCACAGTCACTATCCTTACTGCCGGGTGAATGACCATCCCTGTCAACCCCAAGTAAAGGAACCGGGCTTGTGACCATGGCACATATGGATATGGGTGCGCCTGTTTGAGGGTACCCTTGTTTGGGTGGTGTTAAAGGGACGCCAAAGCGAAAACCGCTGCGCCATTTTGGGGTTCCAACCCTTGAAAACGGTGACACACTCCTCACTTCCTGAGTGGACGGCCAAAAACATGGCCAAGCATTTGATCTACCAAAAAGTACAAAGCTTGGTCTAAAACGGACTTGTTTTTGGCAAACAAATGGTCTACCAAAGACCAAAATGGGCAAAAATGGTCTAAACACTAAAATGGTCCTCCAAAAAAAGATGGATCTACCACTAAAATGGCTCCCTCAGAAAAGAACATGTACAAAACCCGGGGAACTCAGGCCGTGAGACTCCCATCTGCATCTCTCTCGTCCAGCTGGCCTCCGGGCGCCGGACGCCCGCCCTCGGCGAGCCGGGCTCCGGCGAACGGTTTTGGTCTCAACTCAGGGAATGAGAAATGGCTCATGACCCCAAGATTTAAACCCTCCGACTGATGGTTTCCTGAGGGAAAACAGGAAGAAAAAAGAAACGGCCCTTGGGTAGTCATTCCATGTCTCATTCCCCACCGATTTCGCGCCAGCAAGATAGGTACGGAATCGGACAGACAACGAGTCCGGGTGTTGGGCATGCATGTACCGGTTTTGGGGATTCCCGAAAGGGAACCAAATCGCATGGATGGCTCTTCTCGGGGTCATCCCATTCTGCCCTATCTATCGAAGCAAGTCAAAGGATATGGAAACCCCACGCCATCGGCAACCATTCCCTTCAGTTTCCAGCGTTTAGGTTAGCTACAAGAGGGCACCCTTTCAGACACACAACCAAATGATCACGCCACTTTCGGGACCCAGAGGCTCAGTAGAAGATCGGGCTTCTTCTCAGCCACAAAATAACCATCCACTAGAGAAAGCGTATGTGTTTACCCACCTCTTTTGACCCAACCGACTTCTTGATGTTCACCGTGGAGAGGGTGGAAAAACAGGCAAGCCCGAAATTCATATGGGGTTCCCGGGTTTTTGGGGGCTCAGTTGGTTCCGGCTTCTCCCCATTTCCCGCGGTGGGGCACAATGGGCTTAAACGCCTAGACCCAATTCGGTCCAATTCCGAAGGAGCTAAACACCTTTAAACAAGCGGTTGGTGGTTCCCCCTGATGCCATGATCAAGCGACCCGCTGGTTGAATGTAGATGGCACAACCTTCCGATGGGTGCGTCATCCTTACATAAAGAGTTTAGGCAACCCTCACCACCATTTCCAGGTCACTTTGGACCCCTTTGGCTTTGGGTTCTAGGGATGCTCCAAAAAACCCCTTAGGGCTGCTCAGGAAGCCGTGATTGTCACATCGAAAAGCGACCGATTCCCCAATTTCGGGCTTTCGGCTAGCGCTTGGTTTTTGGTGGCACACACTGGTTTAACCTGGGATCCTTTCTGGTGGGCACAGGAATTGGGGATGTCTGTCCACCAACCGCTTCTGACGTGGTCGCCTTATGGAAATTCATAGCCAGGGTCTGGTTCGTTGCCGGATACCAAACAAGGCCAACCCCCCACTTGAGATTCATAGCCACATGGATTTGTCCACAAAATCGTCGCCAAGCAACGGTGGGTGTCTTTTTGGGTTCCCTTTAGGGTACCCCTTATTAGCCCCCTATGTTTTGGTGGTCTTCAAAGGAAAGCTAAACGGAAAATCACCATTTTGGGGGGCCTAAGCTAAAAAAAGACACAGCCACGTCATGGGAAAGAGGCACAGCATGAGGAGCAAGCTGGGAGGTTTCAGACTCGCTGTCCGACTCCGGGTGATCCTCCTGAGCCGATGTTGTCTCGAAAACACTTGGAGACTCCTATAGGGGTGATCGGTACGTCAGGTAAGTGGTTCGGCAAGGTTGGGAACGGAGACTTATAAAACCATGTCTCACAAGGCTTACTAACCACTTACTTGACATACCCGATCGCCCCGGTAAGTATTCTCAGTTGCCCAAGGGAACCGGAAATAAAGGGTGATCACCTTGCAGGCCAAAAGGTCGGCTTTGGGCCACCTTTGGTCAGGCTACGCTTCATTGGTGGATTGGTGGGATTGGTTAGTGTAGACATGGGAAAATGCCTTTGACGGTAGTTGTTCTTACGGCTCATGGCTAAATATACCCGAAGTGTCCATGACCTTTTGGGTTACAAATGCTGCAGTTCGATCTCGTGGCAGGGTTGAGAAGCGCGGAAGATTCCCCCAAAACCTCCACAAAGGAACCATTTGTGGGGGCAGCCTTTTGTTGGTGTGCCCCCCTTCGTTTCCATACATTACTCGGGTTCTGGGATAACACGAAGTCACAGTCCCCAAGCAAGCGCACTACGGGCACCATGTCTTCATGCTCTTGCAAGGCTCTGCTTCTTGGAACTTCCCAAAATTTAGATATCCCTTCAATTGTGCATGTGTTCTGTGTTGGTAGATGATTTCAAGATGACCGTCAATGTTCACCTTCCCCCCTTAGAAAGAGGAAACGGCTCCCCGTTCAAAGATGATGTGGGTCAGATTGTCTCACACAAGGATGCCAACGTGACCACTCTGAGGGTCAACTCTGAATTGCGTTCCGAACAGCGTTCCTTCCATGGGATGGCCAAGCCTCTTTCGGGTGCATTCACTACAGCAACCCAGAGCGGACTTGGAGAACTGAGTGATTCCCCCTGGCTGTGGGTTCGAAGCCGAGTGAGTTGCCCCATGTCCATTTCTGAACTATGGACAAATCCACTAAAAGATTGACCGAACAAACCCACAAAAAGATTGACCGAACCTTTCCCCGAGGGTCCCTCCCAAATGGGTGCCTTTTAGGATGCCCTTTTGGAGTGGGTTTAAAGGGAAACAAGGAAGCCAAGTTGGAGGTTCCATCCCATTTTGAGACAGACCCAAATGAACCAAACTCTGACACCTACAACTTCTCGACTTGAGTCGCTGGCCGAGGCTTCGCTCTTAGTAGCACCTCGAGGCGATTCATCGCAGGAAGAACCGCAGCTGCAGAGTGGGTTGCTCAAACCGGACCCTCAACAAAAAGGGCTTGTTGTGTGCTGTTGGTTTGGTTTCCCTTGCCAACCAAAACAGGGCCCAGTACTTGTTCGTCATTGAAACCCACCCGAAACCAGTTCGAAACCAAATACATCTATTACCGAGCAAACTCACCGAAAAAGGACCTGCCAACTACCAGCCCAGTTCAACTACCCAGTTGAACCGGGTGGGTCATGTACTCCAAACCTGCCCTGGGGCAGAGTTCGGCAACTTCTGCAAAAACCCAATCGGTGAGCTCGGCAATAAGCAGGAGCTTCCAGTGTTTGAATCGAAGCCAAGGGTGGGTCACGCACTCCAAAATTCATTTCTTGGCTTTGATGTCCATGATCCAAGCTTGGTATCCAAATTTGGCATAAAAGATTGAAACGCCGGACGCTCCGAATGGTTGGCAGGGGTCCGGGAAGTAGGGAACAAGCCTCGTTTCCGGGCACATCGCACCGGCATCCTCAGAGGTAGCCTCTAAATGAGGGTTGCAAGCGAACCCGCAAAGGAAATTTTGAGAACCCAAATCCAACCACTTCAAGTGAACGATTTTTGCACTCCGGCACTATCTGAGCATTGGACCGATGGTCGACTGCTCGATCATGCGCGTTCCTTCTTGAACGGCCGCCTCGGGATTCAGATTTACATTCTCCTGCAGTGATCCTATTTCCCTCCGTAAAGCAAAAGTTGCTTCTTTGTTTTTCGCGAAGGGTTGCCGAATTTCTGTGACTGGCCAAAAAAAGTCCAAACTGTTTGGTTGCCACTAAAATGGTCTAAACCCAAAAAGGCTTTAAAGTCCATGAACTCAGGGAGTGAGTTGACTGCTCGGATTGGGCTGAAAAGGTCCATGTGCTGTATCTGCTCAACCTGCCCGAGCGGTCAACCCTTGACCTGGAAGGCTCGATTCGCTTTGGACCAAGTGCCTATTTGAGGTTGGTTTGGGGGGAAAATGAAAGAGGGAAACCGAAAACACAGAGCGATCTGAGGGGCTCTCAAATCTGGGACACGCACAAAACGATTCGAAATCAAAGGAGAGGGGAGGACATCGCCAGAAATTGGTGTGCTTTTTGAGGGCAGCCTTTTTGAGGTTGGTTTACAAGGAAGAAAAACACTAACACTTTTTGCGGGGCTTCCCTGTACCCGCAGACATCTTAGATCCTGAGCCTTTGGCTACCTCAGTCAGTTTGCCAACTCACGGTTTGGAGGTGTGGAGGCGGAGTCCCATTTGCCCTCTGAAGCCAGGGGTTCAAATCCCACCAATCCAAACCACCACAGGGTGACTCAAGAAACCTCAAAGCGAAAGCACCGCTTCGCGCATGGGAAGATTAGGTGTTGAATTGTTTATGGTTCCTCCCCACAGGTTCCACACGCCCAAATACAAACAACTTGCAACAAACACATGACGGTTCCTCCAAAAACGGAAATCTTTGTGATGGTTGTCTAAAGCATCCTATTCAGCAGTCGACAATCCCTACCCCAAGAGAAAGCGGCAGGGGTCTTGTACTGGTCTTAGGAAACCTGCTGCCGACACCCCCGCCCCCAGCAACAAAGGTGTGTCAACTTGTGTCAGCAGGCTTTCCCCAAAGGCTCTGGAGAAATTGTGCGGGCCCTCTCGTTTTGTGGCTGATCTATTTTCAGTCCAATGTCCCAAATGCAACATACCACTCACTTTCTCGTGTACTTCGTCTCAAAATATGAGGAACTCCTGCCCTGCAGAAACAAATGAATGGGAAAATCTTAAAATAGCGTAACCCCCCCAAATCAGTGTGTCCCTTTGGTTTTTCCTTCGAGAACCACACAAAAAATGGCTACCTTGGCCTCGAAAAGGGAAAAAAACAACGACCGCCCCAAACCTGTGAAGTCAAGCCGCCAGCCCCATCCACCAACACAAAAAATCGGACTTCGGGGTGCCCTTCGCCCTTCGAAAACATATAGACCGCCCCTGAAAAATCAGAGCCGTAAGCACTGGCGCAAGGAAGCGCTGTTGGCTGTTGCTCTTGCGCCCATTGGGGTCGGAGCCGGAGCTACCGCTACGGGCATGGGGGGGTGGAAAAATATACATATATATATATACATAGGTACCCCAAATGGAACCCTAGTAAGTGGAAACATGGACCAAAAACACTGAGGTCCAATTCCCGGTGGTTGAATTTCGACCCATACCCACATGACTCGTGCCATTTTTTCTCGGGCTCCGGGCCACTTCCCTGAGCCGGGCGGTGTTCCTGGCCTTGTGGTTGGGATACAACCCGCCCAGGAACCTCAGCGCCGCGGAGCTTTCTGCCGCTCGAAATGTTGCGCCCCAAACTTCATGGGGAGGGAGCTACGGGGGCAGGAACCTCTGCGCTTCTGCCAAGGCAAACACGTGCAAGGTGAAGGTTCCACCCCAAACAGCATTTTTTGGGGTTGGCTCAAATCCTGGGTTTGGAGTTCCATTTGTTTCCTGGTTTTAGGCAAGGGCAAAGATGTGAGTCAGAAAAGGGGCTCAACCGCATGCCCCCGTGGAGTCGGTGCCTGAAAAAGGGTGACGTACCATTTGTCTAGGCAGGTCGCCCTAGTCAAAAGGGAAGTCGCGGCAGGGGCACATTTTCAGGCCACGATATGTGTCTTTTTAACCAAGCCCAAGGGTCGTCCCCCAAAACCGCTTACAGCCTGAAAAGTCAGCTTCGTGACAACTTGGTCGAACATTGGTCTGTTTGCCTAAGCCCCCTGGAAAAAAAGTCTAGTGATAGATTCCCTTAAAAACCAACAGCGGAAATGCAAACATACTCTTAAGCAAATAGAAGAGTTTGTCTCTTTGCGGTCAGCACCCCATGTTTTAAATGCTCCGGGCAAGAACTTTCGGGCACCGTGGCAAGAAGCTGACGCGTTGGCGTTCATTGGCAACTGACCTGTTTTTTGAAGCTGGGGCCTGAGCAAACGAGAAAACAGCGCCAGGAATGGAAGTCGTGAGCCGACCCCCGGGTGTTACAAAGGCAAGCCACTTTGCAGCCCAAACAGTTGAACTCGACTATGGATCGTGCGTCTTGGGGCTATGGCCTAAATACTGGGGTGGGGTGCTTGAAAGTCGAGTTTAGTCATGATGGATGGAGTGAACTATTCATGTGTTGGCCCCTTTTGTTGCTACGAGTCTTCATAAATTCATTGGTTGGACCCCAAGTGAGGGCATCAAACAACATGTTTGGACCCCCCCGCCATCTTTCAGGGTCCAACCACTCAAATGGCCACTTGAATCTCGCTGGAGACTTCGGAAGCCAGATTTTTGCTTCCTTCCCCATGGGCGGAGGGTTGAACCGAAAAAGGGCTTCAAAGAAGAACAATTGTGCCAGACTTCGACGCAAAAAGTGTCGACCTTGAACGAAGAAGTGAAGGAGCCTCTGGCCTGGCACCTTTGGCAAATCCGCAGCCAAGGAGCCAAGGTCTGAACGACACTTTTTCCCGTACATTGAGTTCCGGCCGTTGTGGGAAAAACTGCATTGGGTCCATGCCCCGCCCGAAAAACATGAACCCTAGACTGTCTAGACGAACCGGCAACACTGCGACACCTCCGTTGAAATCAGCTGAGGCACATATCGATCCTTTCAAGTCCATTGGCGGAGGTGAAGATCTCTTGCTGCAGTCTTCGGTCTTCTGGCCAAAGCTGATGGCAAAACCCGGTTGACGCCTTGAGTGGGTTTTTCAAAGGGGTTCTGTTTGAAACCGGCCGCAACACACATCGGGGTTGATCAAAAGGTGTTTTAAATGGGGTGGCCATGAGGGAACCACCAAAAAAGATGAAAAGTCAGCACATGGGAAAGGTTGCTTATTGTCATTTTGGGGGGACTGTTAAGAGAATATTGATCAACACCGAAGCGAGTGAAACCCAAATTTCTTGGAACCCCGTGTGCGCACTTGCAGGTTTCGGAGGGCATCTAGAAGCCGGGCCCAACCCCCACAGGCGAATGACCAGCGGTGCTGGAAAAATGGCGCAAGTCACGAGGTGAAACCTAAATCAGAAATTTGTGCGCCATCGTTCACCCAACTTCCCATGGCCCCCTATCCAGCACTCTATGCCACAACTCTTTGCCTGGGTCTGTGACATGCTGGAAATCCTCCTAAAACTCCAAGATGTTCGGTCAAAATGCCCTCAATTTCTGTCGTACGAATTCGCTCGCTCTCTGACGCGACAGCCGTCCCGTCCCGCCTTCTTCCATGTTATCCTTGGTCGTCAGAAATCCAATGCTTGCACTGCTCAGAAGGAGGTGAGACCGGCCCCAGGCCTGTCTGTTTTTCGGGCACCTAAAGGCCCCCAAAATGGTGCCAAAAAGGGGTCCCAACAACAAATAGCTGCCACGCCCTTGTTCTGCCATGAGACGCCCACCCCTTAGTCTGCCATTGTCCAAGTCACCCCCAAGTGGAAGGTTGAAGGGTTTCACCATTCCAGTCTCTGACTTTGATGACCCCAGAGACTCGACTTGCGAGGTCCCTGCGCAGCGCAGGTGAAAAATCCGAAGGAACCAGCGCAGGACTCACCGATGTCGCCTCCGTGTCCTTCCCCCCAAGGACTAAAAGGACCAAGCTGCAGGCGCTTTTGGGGGACATGGGAAAACCACCAGCAGGCGCTTTTGGGAGACTGGGCAAACCAAAACAACAACAAAAAATCGGGGTTTGAACCAAATTGGACAAACTTCAGGTGCTTTTGGGGCTATGGCAAAACCGAAAAGAAGACATGTCAGGTGCGTTTAGGATGGTACATGGGGAAACCGAGGGAGGAGCCAGCGAGCGAGGCGCTGGATGCATTCCAAGACGCCAGGAAGCCAAGCCTCTTCCTCATGGCCTCCTCAAGGTTGGTGGCGGGTGGAACCCATGGGTCAAAGCTAAACCACCAGAAAAACCTCAGGTGTTCCATAGAACCCATAGTCTGGGTCCACAGGACCTCAATGTAACTCCATTTGCCGGGGGTCCATTTTGTGTACCTACTTTTGACCCACAGTCACATCCCATGCTCTGGGTCAAAGTTAAACCACCAAGATACCTCAGGTATTCCATTTTGGGTACTCACATGGGGGTCCATATGCTCACGTCCTTGGATTGGCCCAAGAAAAAGGGCTGAACTTGTTGCTTGCCACTAAAATGGCAACCAACGCCAAAAAGTTGCTAAAGGCAAGGAACTGTGGGTGGGCTCGTCCTTTTGCGGCTGGACCCCGCCAAAATGGTGCGGCGGGCTTCCTTTTATGTATTTTTGCCCCCTGTAAAACCACCGAAAAGGGGTACCAACTCAAAGATAGACACATGTAATCATTGGTTTGGATTTGGAGCTGCAATCAAGGCTCGGTACCCCCCGTGCTTGGGTGGCAAAGGGAACCCATAAGGAACACCGAAAAATCCAGCTGTGGGGCTGTGGGTCCAACCACAACAAATCACGACGCCCATGTCCCCAACACCTTTTGGGGCACGCCATCTGCGACTTCAGCGCAAGAGAACTCTACAACTCCGAAACCTGAGAGAGAACTAGGCGGATTTTCTCTCCAAGGACCTACATGGGCTGGCGCGGATCGGCCCAAAGGCCGGTCCAATTGCCCCAGTCCACATGAAAGCCCCGACAGAGCCAAACCGGCTCCAAGTTTGAAGCCAAGAGAGCCTCTCCCCCTGAAAGAAGTCGTCTGCACTGTATTTGTTATGCTTTCCTTTTGGCTTCCCTTTGCCCCAAAAAGGTATCGAGCATCAAACACACACACACACACACACACACACAATGCAGTCACAAAAGTAGGAGTTCCTCCCAATTCGTGGATGTTGTCCAAAGTCCCGCCCCGGTTGATAAGTGGTGTCTCCCAATGTTTGCAGGGTTTCATCCATCCCAGGCGGTGCAGGATTTCGATATCGTCCACAGTAGGTCGACCGCCCCCATATGTCCAACAAACACCTTTCGAACCTTTAAATCGCCGGCGGCTTAACTTCCATCCGCTCGCTCGAGTCACCGGTGTCACTGGTCTCGCCCTCGGTTGCGCCTCATCCCATGGCTTTGCTTCTTCGGCCATGAGGCGAGTGTGGAGCTTCTCCGCGTCCTGCGACAGGCGGAAAAGAAAAGCCACCAGGAGGCGGGGGGGGTGGAGGGGGGTCCATATGCTCACGCCCTTGGATTGCCCCATAAAACAAAGGCTCCTGAACTGGTTGTTTGCCACTAAATTTGCGGCTGGACCCCAAGATTGCGCAACAAAAAAGCGCAATACCAACTCCCAAAAGGACTGTGGGCGGCTCGTCATGATTTGAGGAATTGGACCCGATGGCGAACCGGCGTTCCTTTTGCTTTCCCTGTGAAACTACGAAGAAAAGGGGGGACCTACTCTAAAACGAGACACACCCATATATTCAGCTTTGTAATTGGGGGTTTGGATTTGGATTTGAACCCTCGTTTCTTGAGGGGAATGGGAAATGTCTTTTTGTTGGGACTCGGTACCCCCCTTTGCGGGGAATGTTTAAAGGAGAATCAGAGGAACACCAAAATCCAGTTTGGGGGATTCCCGAAAAACAAACACACCCAGTACCCGTTTTGGTGGAAATCGCTTGTTTGACCAATTGAAAGTGAGCTTCCAATTTACAGGGGTTTGGACAGCCTGCCATAAGTTTAATGTTGACCCCGGATCTAAGTAGAGGTAACTCCTAACTGCATGGGTGTCCCCCTTTCTATGCAGGTGGCGCAATGGGATGCGCAATGGAGTAATGGTCCAGCATATTGGTTGGATTTCTTGGAGGTGCTTTCAATTAGTGACCGTGTTCTTGCTCTCCATGCTGGAGCGATATGCTGGGCTTTGAGGCGGAGGAGAATGGGGGCCCAACGGAATATGGATCCACCCCCAAGTGCCCTCCTGACCAAAGCGTAAATGGCGCCAAAAGATGTGCGTAATTGTGAGCCACAAACATCTGGGCTAACCCCAAACGAAGGTGGGGTTTAACCCAACGCAAAGTCGGGTGTAGTGCGTGCTTTTTGCGGTTCCTTTTCTTGTCTTTTTCCTTTTCTTCTGTTTTTTTGGGGGGGAGGGCAAAGTTGGTCTTCTATGCCTTGGTTTGTCCATCCTTGAGAACCCAATGATGCCTTGGTTGAATGTCTGGTCACACATATCTTTGGCCCTTTGAACCGTGCCCGGCGGAAAGGAAAGCAGAAAATTGCTTGAGAAGCCAGAGGTCTCTAAAGTTTGGTGCGCGGGACCCAGCGTGCCGCCTTCTCCATCTCCGGGTCTGATGAGGCCCGTGGCCTCTCCAGGAAATCCTCGGGCCGCCGCCATGGATTTCTGGAGACCCGGTTCAGTCTCTGAGCACGTGCGTGACATGTTTCGGGAGTTTGGGGGTGGCCAATAAACAAAAGCACAGCAACCACCTGTGTTCAATCATTATGGGGGGTTGGGGTAAAAAGCCACATTCCGTCAGGGTAAACTCATAGAAAAACATATGTTGCCAACAAAAGGAGAATCAACTCCCTATGGTTGTTGTGCGTGGACCTGTGTGGTGTCAAAATAGGGGACCCTCGAAACTGTGGCTTTGCAATTGGTGTCCCTTGCAAGCCAGCTAAAAAAGATACGACTATATATACATACATAGACCAATATGGAGGTTTCTCAACATGGAGGACCCCCTGTTTGGCTGGGTTTGAACTGGAAAGCACGTGGAAGCAACCTATTGTGAGACACACAGATCTCAACCAAACAAAAACACGGCCAACGATTTCGGGGTTAGACAAAGTGAAAGAACGGGGGACACCGTCTGCCATCTTGGTGTCCCGGACATGCTTGCCCAAAAACAAACAGATCAAATTACACAAACTACATCTCAAGTGAAACCAGAGTTCTTGGAACTCAAAGATCAAATCAACGCCGCGGCCATTTGGGAGTCCCGGAAAACGCCAAAGCTGCACCAAGACATGCGCCAATCTGCCCTCCGGACTTCAGCTCTCGAGCTCCCAACCTCATGACTCATCCGATGTCTCCAAAAAATCCGGGGACCAAAGAATGGGCGGGTTTTTCCCTTTGGTTGGAATCATGAAAACCAAATCAAAGGGGGGCCCTCCTAAAAAAAAAGAAGGGCGGTCCCTTTGGTTGCCATTAAGAAAACCAACCCAAAGAGAGGCTCTCCGCAAAAAAGAAATATCACCACACCGACTCCTCTCCCAGGCGAGGCGCACTGTGGCCGTCCAGCACATCCGCCATACGGCTGATCACCCGGAAGGTCACCTATGGGATTGGTTGATTGGTGACCCCTAGGGCTCCCTAAGGAAGCCCCACTTTTAAAAAAAACAACTATCACCTATGGATTTTCTACTGGTTCCCAAAGGTTCCCTAGGCCCTAAAGAACCTCAAGGAACCCCAAACCTCTCAACTACCCACCCCCCCTTGCAAAACTACCCCCCCCTGAGGGATTCCGCAAGGATTGGATTGGCGAGATCGCTGGGAGAATGGTGAATCCAGATTCCAGATGGCATATCCGATGTTCAGATTCTCTCTAATTGGTGGTAACTATTCTTCGGGGGGGGGGAACTTCAAAGCAAGAATCATGGAAGAGTAACGCTTGTAGCCATGAATCACCCGTTAAACAATTTACCAGCGTGGGCATCTGCAAATTACTGGAAGCTCCAAAACACTCATTTTCAGGAATGGGTCGTCCATATCTGCGAGGCCGAAGGTAGATGAGGTGAGGGGAGAGACCCAGTTTTTACCTGCATGTTTTGTTTTCACGATACGGACCCCCCCCCCCCCCGGAAAAAAATAAAGAGATTGCGGTCGTCCTTTCGGATTCCCTTAAAAAAAAGGTTCGGGTTTACTCAAAAGAAGACACTGCCACATGGTCTTGAGTAGACCGCTTTATTGATCAGTTTTACTATGCCTCTACTATAGTGAGTCTCCAAACAAGTGACATAACAGGATCAATTTCCAAAAAGGCAAACTTGGCTTCCACGCAGTCTTGCAATGGCGAAGATTGTATTTGGCGGAAACTCTGCTTAAATGAACATCACTTTCTCGGCACGGTCGAAATCGAAATTGCGAATATGCCCACCCAGTTGCCTGGACTTCTCTCCCCCGTAGACCGATCGGGTTTTTGTTGGACGAAGCGAGTTGTAAAGAACTCAAAGGGCTGCTTTTGGAACCTTCCAGCAAACGAACTATCCTTTCCTAGCCTTCGAAGTGGCTCACTTGGCTGTGGATCCATGTACCGTAGGAAACTGCGGTCCGCTGTGCGAATCAAATAGGAAAAAAGGGAATCACCTCAGGAAAGATTTGATTTGGCCGCCGAACCTGGAGGTCTGGCCCCATGATTCTACCGTCAAGGTCACCCCACAAGTCTTAGTCTAAAAAAAAACACTTTCTGACTTTGATACCCCCTGTCCAACAAGCTCTGACTGAGCTTGCCCCCCATTGATACCCCCTGACAACCATTGTCCAACCATACTTGGGGAAGTGGACCATGGGGTTCCCCAACAAAACATAGTATGTCAACAGCTCTTCTCAGCGTCCGTGATTGGCTGAACATCCCCCAGAAGCAGCTACTCTCAGGTAGATTAACGGAAGCAACCCCACCCCCCACACCCCAAAAAAACAGACGCCCATGTCTGCAGTTGAAACTCCTTTTGGCCAATGGCTCCCCCCCCCAAAAAAAAAACGGGCCGCTTCCCTTCCGTTTTTTTTTTTGCGTAGAGTGAACTCACGGGCATCCACCCAAGTCCACCTGGCCAAATTTCCCCGGCCTTGCTGTTTGCCTTGAGCCTCTCGGGCCCGGTGAGGCACAAGAGCAACGTCTCCACCTCAGCCCCAAATCTCTGAGTCCCGGGGCGGGTGGTTTTTTTTCCCCCGGAAAACCGCTCGTTTTTTTCAAACAAAAAAAAAGAAGGAAAAAACAACTCGGAACCCAAAACGGTGGGATCTGTACTCGGTTGCTTTCTTCTCTCCTGCTAAGAGTTTTCAACTTTTAGTGGTTTAATACGGAAAACCCAATAGGTGGCAAAAAGTTAAACATCCAAGCAAAATGCAATGAGTCCCTCGGTGTTTTTTTTGCCCCGGAAAACAGCTCGGAACCCCAAAACGGTGGGGTCTAAACATGGGTGACCCCCCTAGATGGTGCCGCTGCCTTTGCGGAAACTCCCTTCAAAAACCAGCCAACCAATGGAGGGTTCCCCCTGTTGGTTTCCCTTTAACACCACCCAAGAAGCAAAAGGTGACGTTAACAAGGACACCACATGACCAAACCGGAAGACACACAAGGCCCTAAAGGGTCGCACGTTCATCCTCAGAAGCGGCTGCTCCAGGGCCACGATGAATTGATTTGCGAAGTTCAAAGGAGGTCCCAATGCGAAAGGTCAACAAGGATCTCACCGTTTCCAACATGCTGGGGATGGTTGCAAAATCCATTTCGCACCACTCTGACACCATGGGAACCATTGTCTGTTGGTATGTACAAGGGAATCATCAGAAACCAGGGTTTCTTAGGTGGTGCAAATGGATTTCCTCCATCCACAGTACCTCATCAGATGGCCTTTTCGAATCGGAATTCTCAGGAGCAGATAAACCACTTGGTTGGGTTGCAAAATTGGTGACTCGAGAAAATCGCTGTCCCCTGGCAGATGTTGTGCAGCCAGGTCAACCACTCGGAATCCATCTAATTTTGACCACAACCAAGGACACCTCCGGTCACAAAGCTCCTTTGTCTGATTGCCACAGTTGCGAGACCTGACTATTGGAGTTGGAGCGCTATTGGCATGCTGTATTCAATGAAGCTCCAACACCCAAAAGGCAGGGGTTCGTGTGGGGGTGTCGTTTTTTCAAGGGCGCCGGAGCCATTTTGGGGGTTTGGTGGGTTTGGTTTGGAACACCGCGGCCATGTCAAAAGCCCCGCCTACTTTTGCACCCATGGTCCCTAGAGCCCAAGCCAACCGACTCAAATCCGTCGGCCGAAATCCGGGGATGGTAAGACCTCCCATCGCGGACTTCGGGTGGTCTCCGGGGCCCAACATGGTTTTTGCATCTGAGGCCCCGTTTCGGGGTTCGCTTAGGGACACAGCTGCAAAGAAAATGAGTGCCCAAAACCAGTTGACTAAAAGTCTTCTACCGAACTTGCTGCGAAGGTCTATGCCTTCTTGTAACCACCATAAGACCAGACCAGGTAGAAGAAGCACCTGAAAAAAAATTGCCAATGGGAAGCGAAATTGGACGCTGCTGAAATGTTCACCGTGATTTACGGGCCATTGAAGGAAAACAGCTCCTGACTTTGATAACCAGAAATGACTGGAAACAATTAAGAACAGGATCTCAGGCACGGCTCAAATGGGTTTGTATCAAAATAGGGGAACCCCCAAACCGCTGGCTTCCTTTTGGTCTCCCTGTTAAACCAACCCTGCAACAAGGACACTCCCCAAAACTCTCTCGCTTCCTGAGTGAGTTGGCCCAAAAGAGTCCATCTTTTTTGGTCCATGCCTCTAAAGTGGCCATTCCAACCCAAAGTGTTTCATTTCAGTCCATGAACATCATCATCCCCAAAACCCCCCAAACCCCAAGCACCGCTTGACTCGGCGACTCGGCGAACCGTCCGACTCGCCGACTCGAAGACTCCACGCCCAGGCGCGGATCGCCCAGTCCAGGTGCGTTCTGCGCTGATATCCGGGATGTCGAGGCCAAGCGCGTCCTGGTCCTGTTGGGACCACGGCTGTATTTGTTTTGACTTTTTTGTTGTTGTTTTTGTTTTACGTTTTGTTTTTTGTTGTTTTTGTTCCTTTTTTTCTGGTATTCCTTTCTCTTGTTTCGCGGTGTGTGTCCTTGAGGCTACTCCTTTCTAGGTGGTTTGAACCCCGGTTAAAACAAGGCTGTGACTTCCAGGGTGTGGCAGTTTTGGAGGACATCCAGTTTTGGGCTGGTTTTTTGGCTGGAAACCGTCTCACCAACCGAGGGCAAGGGTGGTAGTAGTGCTAGTAGTTGTAGCAGTAGTAGTAGCAGCAGTAGTAGTAGTAGTATTGGTAGCAGTAGTAGCAGTAGTGGTAATAGTCGTATGAGTGGTCGTAGTAGTAGTAGTAGTAGTAGTAGCAGCAGGCGTAGCAGTTTTCGTCGTAGTAGTAGTAGTCGTCGTAGTAGTAAGTAGTAGCAGGCGAAGTAGTTTTCTTAGTAGTAGTAGTAGTAGTAGTAGTAGTAGTAGGAGTAGCAGTAGTCGTAATAGTAGTGGTCGTAGTCGTAGTAGTATCAGGAGGAGTAGGAGTAGTAGTAGTGCCAGCAGGATTAATTAGCAGGAAGTAGCGATGGTGGTGGTTGCTGCGGAGACAGTCAAGAAAAGTAGCATCTTGCAGCATACGTTTTGAAGGGGTAATTCGGGGGTATGATTCGGGGGTATGATTCGGGGGTTTGATTCGGGGGTATTTCGCCAAGGTCCCACTTTCTGCCTTTTGAAGCATCAACACCAAAAAAAGACAAACCCAATATATATCAAGCACAGTACAGCCTGTAGCGTTTCAAATCAGTCAGCTTTGCAGGCAAGTCCTAGCCCCCATGCCGCTTGTCCAAAAAATTGGACCGAGCAATTTTGGCCCGCTCACCCAGCCCCCTGATTGCTAAGCAAAGCTTAGGTAGAACAACTCCAGCTAGTGCTTTCATGACAAATTACAAACAAGCAAACAAACAAACAAACAAGCAAACAAAACACAAGACAAACAAACAAACAAAACACAAGACAAAACAATCACACAAACACACAGACTCACAAACTCACTCACACGCAAACATGCAAACACGCAAAACCAAACAAGCAAACACGCAAACACGCAAAGATGCAAACACGCAAACACAACACACAGACCCAAACAAACAAACAAACAATCAAACAATCAAACAAACAAACACACACCCACCCACCCACCCACCCACCCACCCACCCACCCACCCACCCACCCACCCACCCACCCACCCATCCATCCATCCACACCCACCCACCCACACGCACCCACACACACACACACACGCACGCAGATACACCAGCCTCGCTTTGGAGGGCCGTAATGACGGCTAGGCTCGCGTTCTTTGTGCGCAAGCGATGCTGCCGCCTCGGCATTGAGTTTTCTTGAGACGCTGTTTTGTCGCACTCCTATGGAATTGATTTGTCGCAGGGAGGGTGTTTCGATGTCGCAAACAGCTATTCTAAATTCAGAGTCTTTGCAGCCAGCAGCCTGTTGCTTCATTCACTGGAAGACCCGTCTTTTGGGAATCTTTTTGCTGCTTCTCAGGTCAGGGAATGACTCGAACTGCACTGACCCATGGCTTCCCTTTGGGGAATTTCATTGGGTCACTCTCCCCGAAAAAGCCAAAAGCCAGCCGAGCCTCTTGGTTTCACCTCACGGGCTTCGATCAGCTTCCTTTGATCAGCTTCCCTCTTGAGTCACAATCAAAACCGATCGGTACAAAAATGGTGAACCCAGAACCATGCTTCAAGAGTTAAGAAGGCGGCCGCCAACTATTTCCGGCTGGGACTGCACCTTACTAACCTTCATCTACCCGGGTGTTGGATGTGGCTCATTAGGTGATTTGGATTGGTGGTTTGGTGGTGCGGGGGTAAACCCCATGTCCTCCTCTGCAAGAAACTGGGGTTCAATTCGCGAATCCAAGCCACCCATTAAGAAATTACACCAGCATAGACCCCAGATAGCACACCACGGATACGAACCATGACGCAGCATTATCATGATGATGTAGACCATGATGACACCACAGCCACGAAACAAACGCGCAGACAACGTCCTAATGAGATCAGCAGCATAATGATGATTTTGAGAGCAATCCGGCAGGAAAAAGCAAAAACGAGGTCCTAATGAGTTCGACAGCATCATGATGATGCGGACAGCATCATGATGATGAGGACAGCATCATGGTGATGCGAACAGCATCATGCTGATGGTAAAGGCAGCATCATGATGATACCACAGCCACGAACCATCTTGCGACAGCTTAATGAAATTCTGCATCATCCTGATGTTGACAGCATCACGGCGCCACTACACCCACACACCATAACGTGGGCACATCATGGCGATACACCAGCCACAAACCGTTACACACGAACAGCATCCACCAGCACCCCAAACATGCCCCCTAGCACCCGGTACAACCAAAGCAGCATCCACCCGCGCCCCAAACTGCATGCCCCTTAGCACCCGGCCGTCAAGCTCGCAAAGCAGCATCCACCAGCACCCAAACTGCACGCCCCCTAGCACCCGGCCGTCAAGCTCGCAAAGCAGCATCCACCAGCACCTCAAACTGCATGCCCCCGAGCACCCGGCCGTCAAGCTCGCAAAGCAGCACCCACCAGCACCTCAAACTGCATGCCCCCCAGCACCCGGCCGTCAAGCTCGCAAAGCAGCATCCACCAGCACCCCAAACTGCATGCCCCTAGCACCCGGCCAGCTTGAAAAACAAAACAGCATCCACCAGCACCCCAAACTGCATGCCCCCAGCACCCAGCCGTCAAGCTCGCAAAACAGCATCCACCAGCACCCGAAACTGCATGCCGCTCGCCGGCCAGCTCGCAAACCAGCAGCCCCCCACCCGGCCGTCAAGCTCGCAAAGCAGCATCTACCAGCACCCCAAACTGCATGCCCCCTAGCACCCGGCCGTCAAGCTCGCAAAGCAGCACCCACCAGCACCCCAGACTGCATGCCCCCTAGCACCCGGCCGTCAAGCTCGCAAAGCAGCACCCACCAGCACCCCAAACTGCATGCCCCCTAGCACCCGGCCGTCAAGCTCGCAAAGCAGCATCCACCAGCACCCCAAACCGCATGCCCCCTAGCACCCGGCCGTCAAGCTCGCAAAGCAGCACCCACCAGCACCCCAAACTGCATGCCCCCTAGCACCCGGCCGTCAAGCTCGCAAAGCAGCATCCACCAGCCCTCAAACTGCATGCCCCCGAGCACCCGGCCGTCAAGCTCGCAAAGCAGCATCCACCAGCACCTCAAACTGCATGCCCCCCAGCACCCGGCCGTCAAGCTCGCAAAGCAGCATCCACCAGCACCTCAAACTGCATGCCCCCTAGCACCCGGCCCTCAATCTCGCAAAGCAGCATCCACCAGCACCTCAAACTGCATGCCCCCTAGCACCCGGCCGTCAAGCTCGCAAAGCAGCATCCACCAGCACCTCAAACTGCATGCCCCCTAGCACCCGGCCCTCAATCTCGCAAATCACTTTCCCCTCTTTATTAGAAGTTAGAACCCCTATAGCTTTCAGCTATCTGGGGAAAAACATCGATTTCCCACACTTGGTACGGTAGCAAAAAAACCTCTCTGCTCTTGTTGCCATCCCTACAAAAAATGAACAGAACCCAAACAGAAAAAGAAAATACACCAGCATAGACCCCAGATAGCAATGATTGCGCACCAGCACCTCCAACAGCACCCCCCGAAGAGCGTCCCAAACAGCACCCGGTCGTCAATCGAGCACCCGCGCCATCACTAGCACCCCCCAAACAGCATCCCAAAACAGCACCTGCAGCAGCACCCCAAACTGCATGCCCCCTGCACCCTGCCGTCAATCTCGCAAATATGCGCCTGCACCGTCACCCTAAGAGCACCCCAAACAGCACCCCCCCAAACACCCAGCCGCACCCCAAACAACATCCCAAAACACCACCACCCAAACTGCATGCCCCCGTGCACCCTACCGTCAAGATGCAAAAACACGCGTGCACCGTCACCCCAAAACGGCACCTGCATCAGCACCCCCAAAGTGCTACCGTCAATCTTGAAAAGATGCGCCCGCACTGCCATCAGTACCTCAAACAGCACCCCAATCCGCAAAAGCCAGCACCCCAAACTGCACGCCCCTTAGCACCAGCCCATCAATCTCGCAAATCACTTCCCCCTCTTTATTAGAAGTTAGAACCCCTATAGCTTTCAGCTATCTGGGGAAAAACTAAACACTTGATCCAACAACCGAAAAGCCCATGGAACCAAAACTCCAGGAATTCAGCCCTCTTTCCTGAGAAAAATCAACCAAGTACAAGCCTTCGGAAAAAAGATGTGGTTGGCTCTGCTCTTGGCCTTTTTCCTCCAAGCCAATCAAACCCATGTTCGTCCGGAAAAAAAAAGGAAAAGCCGGAGAAAATCGACGGCACGTCTGTTTCGTTGCTGAGGGTGGGGCCATTCCGCCATAGTCTCTGTGATTCGGAAGAAGCGAAGGCACGCCTGCGGTCTCTTCAAACAAATTGGGATTTGGACCCCTAACGGCTTTAGTCTTCCGTTTGGTTTCGTTGTGAAAACCAACCTTTTGAAGGGTACCCCTGAGGAAATCAGGGACTGAAAAGGTAGTCTAATACCCCTCTTGGTTGCGTGCCGCTGAATGTCTGCAGCCATGTTGTGTTGTTCAATTTCGGGGTGCTACAGGAAGCTCCCTGTTCGATCATTCCAAGTCAGCTTTTCCGCTATAGTCCCAAGGCGAAATGGGGTTACAACACCAAAAACACCCACTTGTCGCAGGGTCGACTGTGTTGCCGTCGGGTCGGAAAAAATACAAAGAACCGATGAGGAAAGCTCTTTTGAAACGAATAGCTGAAAAGATGGACCAGAAAGCAACGCTTAGAGAGGGAGTGGCTGAGAATTCTGGTCAAAAAGAGGTAGGGCTAGTTCCCGGGCATAGAGCAAATAATTATGTGTGTATATATATATATATGTATATATATGTATATATATATATACACATATGTATATATATATATGTATATATATATATATGTATATATATATATATATGTGTATATATATAGGGATGAAACTTCCAAAGACGCTGTGAACTGTTCATGCCTCCGGATACTTGGGAGTCTCACTTGAACTGTCACAGGCACCGAAGCATGTGCCACAATTGGGGCCAGATGTGCCCCATCGAAACCTACGTGAGCCGAACATAGGGAGGTTGGAGGTGCAGTGGGTCTGGACAACCTCAAAGCTATGTTTGCACCTTGGAAAAGAATGGTCTTGCCCTGTTTGGGGTCTTCAATACAACCCAGCGGTGTCGTTTACCTGCGTAGTAGCTACCAAGGAACCACGTTAAAAACAAAAAACATATTGGATATCTACTCGGACAAGGTGCTATCACCTTTCGGCTTGCCACGATTAAAAAGAAAACAAAAACTATATGGTCACATCCAGTCGATTCGGTGACAAGTGAGACGGTTACAAACGAAAAACGCGGCTTTCCCAACCAATCCTGAACGTCCACGGGGGTGTGGGCTGACTCAAGATCCAAACGGTTTTGTCTGTCCTTTCTGCGTAACCGAAAGAACGACAGCAACCATTTTTCGGGGGGGGGGGGCAACTATTGATTATTAAGACACGCCCAAACGGGTTGTCTAAAAGGAAGCTGGTGTCCTGTTGGTTTCCCTTCAACAACAAAAATAACTGAGAAAGAAAGAGCACGAAAAAAGCTGGCTTGGTGTTTTTGTTTTTCCCCCTTAACCAACCCCAAAAAAGTTGTATACCGTCAAACAAGAAAATAAGGAGATCGTCTTTTCCGGAGAACCTGATGGACGCAAATGAGACATACTGTGGATGGACGACATCCTGCACCACCTAAGAAACCCGGGAATGATGATTCCCTTGTAAATACCAACCAACGGTGGTTTCGCATGGTTTCAAAGTGGTGCAGGATTTCGTCCATCCACAGTATGTGTCTTTGTTAGCGGACCCCTTGGTCCTTCAAGGAAAACCCAAGACGGTTCGAAAGCCTAACGATTTTAAGACACACCCAAATGGGTTGCTCTGAAAATTGGTGGCGCCCCAAAAGCTGGGTTCCTTCCTGTTTCCCTCAAAACCCACCAAAAAGGAGTATACCCTCAAGTTTATCTTTGTGAGGGTAATCCTGCTTTCCTGGTTTGGAGAGCAACCAAAAGACAAACCAACCCATTTGGTGAGTCTAAAAAAGACACTCCCATGTCCTCTTGGGGAAACCAAGGAGGGTATCCCCTCAAAAAAGGGAAGCCAAAAGGAAACCCCCATTTAAGGCTATGAGTTCTTTGATTCATATCCTTTCAAGCGGTTGAAAAAAGAATTTCCAGGGGAAAACTGCCCCAAGATCGGCCCGGAGCTCGCCTGCAGCAGCTCAACCCGCATCTTGCTCAGCTCCGCCGTGTCCGGGCGGCTGCGCGAGGTCCTAGAAGGCCCGAAGGCCCGAAGGCACGGGCGCTGGTCGCAGGAGTCTCACACGCTGTGGGAAATGGAATCCACTTCCGTGACACAAAAAGGGCTTCTCAAAGACAAACCTGCCATAGGAGCGAACGAATCCGGGTCTCACAAACCTGCCATGTAGAGGGGGATAATCCCCAAAGTATCACAGAAGTGGTTGGATAAACTTGATCCCAGTCTCACGGCACCTGCGTGGACTGGCGGAACAAAAGTCCAGGAACTGTCGTATTTTCTACCTAAAATGGCAACCAAACCCAAAAAGTGACTCAAGTCCAACTCACGGAGTGAACTGTGGATTGGATCTTTTGGTTTTTGTCTCTCTCTTTCTTTTTTCCCCAACAGCTGAAAGCTTTGGGGTCTCAGCCCAGATAGGCTCCGGGGTGGTCCAGGGCGGCCCTGAGGTAAGGTTCCACGAGGGCTCCACGAAAGTTTCAGGGTTCCACTAGGGTTCCACGAGGGTTCCACGAGGTTCTGCGAGGGCTGCGGGGTGGTGCGAGCACTAAAACACCGCGTGCTGTTGGGGATATCACCTGAGCCTTTTTTTGTTGGGGGGCGGGGGGAGGCGGGGGGGTTGGCTTTGTGTTCTCCGGGGGGGGAATCCCGTGTTGGAGTTCGGGAAGAAGTCCAAGTTGGGGGGCTGCTTGAAGCCCACGGGAGAAAGCAAAACAAAAAAGAAAAACATCGCCGGCTGAGCCTGTTTGGGGGTTGGTCCAAACCCAAAGATGGGTCTGTCTTGCCTGGGACCCTTTTCGCCGGTTGAAAGGGGGGCAACCAATCGGGCAGCAGCCGAAATTCTGGAGACTTCCCCGGCCTCACGAAGACGCGGATCACCCCCTCCATCGCGACGTTTCCGTGGGTCGTTCGGAGCGACCTCGGAAAAAGCAACGTAGGTTTCTCTGGCTTCTCAAAAAGGCAGATACCCTCAGAGAACCCCCCTCCCCACACTGCCTTTTGGTTGCCGTATTTCGGAAATTGGACACAACCCGGCATACCGTTTGTGTAGTCAGTATATGGGTGTCTTTTCGGGTCTTTTTGGGTGCGTCTTGCTTAAAACTCACAAAAACAACGGTACCCTCAAGAGTAAAGACAGACCCATATGGTCGTGTATCCCAGTTTGTGGGAACCACCGAGACCAATGTTATGATATTGACCCACTCACCATCCCTAACCCCTGGGTCATATGTCGCCTTCAAACATCAACCCACCAGCTGGAGACTAATCTACAAATGCCCCAAAAGGGGGATAGAACTGGGCTGACTTTTGGTGGGTGAAACGGAAACCCAATCACTAAACCCACTAAAACCTAAAAAGCAAAGGAACCGAACGGCTGGGAACCGTCAAGTGCATACCATATCAGGATTCATGAGAAACAGCTGTGCCAATCCCTTGCTTCCTCACCTCCTGGGGTTGACAAATAGAAAGAATCCAAGCAAATGTTGATGGTTCTCTTTTCGGTGAAGATAGCCATCAACATTCAAGCAAATATTGGTTCCTTAACCAGCTAAGTTACCTGGTTGAAGATAGCCCTGGAGCAACCAAAATGACAATGAGTACTAAAGTTATCACCTAGGGCTGTTCCCGACATTTCCCCCGCAAACATCACCCCGCAAGGGTGATGACACCTCACTTGTAGACATCCAAAAGCTGCTGTTTTCCCGGCTCCAGCCGGAAAATATCGAGAACCCAACCAACGGCTTCCAACGAGTGCACTCGGAAGCCCGCCCCGGAACGCCCATCATTTTGCGCGGCGAAGAAAGTCGATCTGAGGTGCCCGCAGAGCTCCCTGCCCGGTGTTCGCCAGCAGCATCTTGTTCAGTTGGCTCATGATCTGGATCGATGAGACTTTCAGATCGGTCAACAGCCGTTTACCCCACCACTTTTTCCGGCCAAACAAAAAGGAAACAACTGGAGCTGGCCTTTTGGTCGATGAAACTCAGATCGGTCAACAGCGCGGTTGGCGCGAATAACCCGCCACTCTCTTCCCGGACAAGAGAGAAGAAACAAATGGAGTTGGCCTTTTGGTCTAAGAAGATGGGGATAGACCTCTTCACAAAAGGTCGCCTAAGAATGACCTTTTCTTGCTGAGATCTCAGGGAATGAGAAAGGGAATGACCCCTATAAACCATTCCCCATGGTTTCCTTTAAGGGAATCCCACCGGAGGGCATTCCCCACTGAGCACCGGCGAGTTTTCCGAATCTTCAGGGAATCCAGGGCTCCTTGTTTCTGATGATACTCCTCCAGCTTGTCCCCCTGTAAAACATCAAATGCAACACATGTCAAAAAACAAGAAACCTCCATTTCGGGACGGCGAATTCCAGCGTTCATGTTAATCCGCAACTAGACCCCAGCTATGACCCCCTTCGTCAATGATAGTAAGAACAACTCAAAACCGCTCGAAACAGAACCACCCAAAGCCCCAACAGTCTCAGAAGTAAATCTTTGGCTCCGACGAACTCCCGCTCCGAGCGATGCTGCGCCGGATTCCCCGAGTTGCGAGCGGGAGTTCGGAGTGGCCTTCTCCAAAAGCATGAAGGACGCTTGAAGCTCCTGGGCACATGAATCCCTTCTCCCAGCTTCCATCTCTCAGTCAGACTTTTTGCACACGCACCCAGAACCGGATGTGCCAACCGCCGACTTCATCCTCCCTTGCACCTTTTTCGCCCCCCCAAACACAACTGACTCAGCTACGGGGTCGAGAGGCCCGGAAAGGCGACTCGGGGTGGTTTTTTGGGCTTTCAGGGAGAATGCTAAAGGAGATGCGGTTCCAGGTGAGTTTCTTTGGGGGCTGTTGGGTCCCGATACGGACGACTTTCTCGAATGTTCTCCAAGGGGGGAAGTCCAAGAACCCATCAACTTGGATTCGATGTTCAGCCCACTTTGGGCTCTGACCGAGGGTTCAACTTTCAGGTGGTTAACTCATAGGTCTGACCCCCAACCGGTCTTTCTCGGCCAAGGCCCACCCAGCCCACCTTGGGGGTGTCTACCTTACCCACTTTTGCTCGCAAGAAACGCGCCATTCCCCCATTTTTACATGTGCCGCTTACCTGACGTCGATTGAACATTGAAGTGAATGGCCGGCCCTGCCAACCCCCTCTCCCAGCTTCCCTCTGCATGCCTCAGAGCCACTTTGGCCAATGGGTGTCAATTGTCAATACTTTTGCCACAGTGCCATCCAGCACAAAACGCTTCACCTTGGCGGAAAACCAAACATGTTTGCACAGGCAGTCTGGGACAAAAGTGGCCAGCCGGATTTTCTTGGGGGCTCGAGTGTGTTATTTGAAGTCTCCCCGCCTGAATGGTTGTCTTTCTCTATGAACCTAGCCGTTGCAGTTGCGCCCAGAAATCTGAGCTCTGATGAGCGAACTAACCCAAACGTTTCAACCTGAAGCCTCCATGTGCTCAAGTCCCCTGGACAAGAATGCCAACATATGTCCAGTAGTCATAGATTCCTTTCAAACCCAGAAAAAGCATTGGTTCAAAGAAAACAAAAAACACATGTCAGCTGGAATATTCTTTCAAGCCCACTCCAAATCGGTTCCCAACTGTTGCCCATCCGCGGGCCTCCGGCTTCACTTCCAGCAGGCTGATGAGGGACTCCATCTGAACGCGAAGCGATGCGTCCACCGAAGCCCCAAAAAAACGGAGAAAAACCTCCAAACTGGATGTCCAGCCCCGTCAAAAACCTAAAAAAAAGCACAACTGCGCCCCGAAAAACCTTTAGAAAAAAAAAAAAAACAAACAAACAAACAAACAAACAAATTAACAGCGGGCTGGATTTCCAGTCCTGACAGAGACGCAAGCCAAGGACACATCATTTGCTTTGTCACGTCGTCTTCCTTGTGCCACTTCCACATACCTTACGCGACCCATGCTTTGGTGTATGCGACACATGGGGTTCAAGTAGGCCTTCACTGGAAAGGCGGCATTCGCGGCGGCCTTCCTGGGCGAATTGCACTTTGCCAGTCCAACTCGAGAATAGCCACTTTCAGCGCAAGGTACAGCGCTCATGACATTTGTCAGAACGCGTGAAGTACACGAAGTACACAGGGCAGCAAGAGCGGCTGCTCAGAAACATAGCCAGGGCCTTGTGCGTGCCTTGCGCGCCTTTCGTTCTCCTGTTGGCTTCTGTGAACTACATGACTACCGAAAGCTACGGGATCTTCCCGGCACTCTGTTGCAGAGGAAACCGCCTGTCTTTTTTTCCATATGTTCGACAACACGCTATCATAGCAGCTTCGTCTAATCAAAGAAAATGTGCGTGAAAAATATTATGAAACAAAACCTTACGTGCCATTCTTACGCACGACGTTCCCTCCACATCTGCGCAAGGTCTCGCGCCCGAGGTTGTGCTCGCGCCACGAGTCGATATGACACTCACCGAGGCTTGAGGCGGTACTCGATTGGATCCCCAAGGAAAGGACCTACATCACGGTATTCACAAACGCCAATTTGCCAGAATGTGAGTATCGGCATCCAAATCCCTGGGTCTCATCTTCCCACTTCAATCTGCATTTGAAAGCAAATGACGACTTTTATGTAGACATATTCTGAAAAATAGTACTTGTACTGATGCACACGGGCGATTAGAAAAACAAACTTATTACCCGCACGGTTCCCCGTACTTCTTTGACCATCGCCCTGGACCTCACCGCAAACTGGCATGCCAAAGGAGAAATATCCAAGACCCTCACTTTAGATTGGCATCCAAAAGGTGAGGTATTTCAAAAACCGCACTTTGGATTGGCATCCGAAAGGTAAATATGAAGCACCCCACCAAAACGGGAACCAGAGGGACCTCTTTGCCATCGTGCGAAATTCGGTCGTTGCCTCGCTGGAGGAGTAGTCACTGATGGAGGCCGCAGAGATGCACTCCAAAGCCTTGGCGCTGTCTTTGGCGCTGTAGGTCCCCCAGCAAAAAGTAAGAAAAAAAAAAGCCGGTTTAAAAGGAAATACTGTGGGATATCCAAAAACGCATCTCCACCTTAAGAAAGGCGCGAAATCCATTTCGCACCACGAAATGGTAAACCATGGTTGAAACCATCGTTGGTTGGTATTTACAGGGGAATCATCAGAAACCAGGCTTTATTAGGTGGTGCGAAATGGATTTCGTCCATCCACAGTATGTGGGGAATCCTTGAAGGACTCCAGGACCAAGTTGGTACCCTCCAGACTAACAGCCGGAAGCTCCCAGGACTTTGGAAGACTTGGTCCCATTTACAGAGGCCAATTGGGGGAGCTTCCATGTTAGTCTGAGGGAGTGTAGCCCTTGGGGATGGTGTTGAAGGGAAGCCAAAAGGAATCCGAAGCCATTGTTACAATGTACCCGCATTTTGAGACAAGCTGCTAGAATCCTCCAACATATACCTGAGCAACAGCTCGAAAGTCTATCAGGGGACGAATTGTTGGATGATAATTTTGTAGAGGGACTTTCCTTACAAGAAGCAACCAGTACTGCACTTCGCACCAGTTGGGATTGGTGGCTTATCCCATTTAATGGGTTTCATCCATGCTAGGTGCAGGATTTTGTCCATCCAGTAGGGTGTTCCCTCCAAAAATGCCCTCAACCCTCACATTTAACTGGGACCCCCTTCCAAAAGAAGAAAATCTGCAGTTGACAAATCCAGGGGAGCATTCTAATGTGTACCCGGCCCAAATGTATCATTCCTTGAGTGACTTAGACCACTATTGCAAGGGGTTCTGCTTCTAAAAAACGTGGTTCTACTTGGCCAGGTGAGCTGACCTCCGTTGTCCAGTTACAGTGTTGGCTGTCAATATTCGGGGAAAGAGGACAGTCTTGAAGGGGGGAGTTGATTCATGAGGGGGAAACACTAGTTGCCGCAAGGAACCAGCCTCGAATGACCAAACGAAACATGTCAACGGGTTACCTGTCAAACAGAGAGGTACCTAACTGGGATGGACGAACCACCAGAGACCAACGGAGTCCTGCCCAAAACCGATGTGATGCGACAAAAAACCAGTTGGGCCAAGTCAACGCCAGCTGATTTAGGAAGGGGTCCAAGTCTTTTGGGATCTGTGCCAGTTACTTGGGTATGGTTGGACCCTGGGATTCCGTGCTGGGAACCACATGGCAACCACAGATTCGGAGCTCGACCACACATTTGGGTGTGTCTTTTGAAGGGTGCCCTTATTGGAGGTGGATCAAAAGGGAGCCAAACGAAAACCACGGATTCGTTGCCTTTGGCTTTTTGTTTGGAGGGGGATTCTGGCCTGTGTCGCATCCATTTGGGAACTTAAGCCTGACCTGCTGAGTGGGCCAAGTTGAAGTTGAAGGGCTTTCTGACCAAACCGGCAACTCAACAGGTAAGGTCCAATCTGGTGAGTCGATTTTGAGGGTACCCCCTTTTTTGTGGTTTTCCCTAAAGAAAATCACCATGATTGGGGGGCGGGTACCCTGAAAAAAGACACACCCAAGCCGTGTTTGAGGGCGGGGACCATTTTGGGTCCGAGCTCCCCATGAGAAATCATAGCCAGAATTGAAGGTCTCCAGACACCCCAGGCAGGGTCCCTTGAGGAAAACAGTCCAAGCAAGGGGTTTTGAGGCTGTAGTGAGGGGATTCTGCTGAAACCGAACAGAAGGAACGTAAAGAAGCTTCATGTGACGAAGGACACCATCGACCTTCATTTTTGGTTTCCCAATTGAAAACGCCAAAAGACAGATACCCTCAGAAAAGTCGAGCCACGCTTGTTGCGTCATATTCTTCCGCCTTGAGTGGCGCTCCGAACCCATTTCCCCCAGCGCTTGCTGGGGGTCGTGGATCGGCAATGGTCAGCCTTCAGATGTTCCAAGTTCCGGTTTCCAAAGGCCCAGACGTCACGCGGTCTTGTATCAGAAGCTCTTTTCTTGATGCAACTCTTTTCACAGACCGTCCCCGTCCCCCCTCTTCATTCCCGTCCCAAAAACATAGAAAGCCACCGGCCTCCCTGGTTTGGTTTTGACACCACCCCCCCCCCCAGTTTTCGGCAAGACCAAGGAGGAGGCGGCGTTCTTGACGCTCGGATGGGGCACCTGGGGCCCGCCCCGCGACTGAGCTGGACACCCGGGACTTGCAACTTGCTCGCTTCATCTATCCGATGGTGAACTCAGATGCCCAGTGAATTTATTTACACGGGCCAAAAAAAATGCATCCCTTTTTGGGCTAAGGGGGGAACCCTTGCCAAAAAATAAAAATAAGAAAGAAGAAAGCGCCACTGGGTGAATGGACATCTCTCGTTTGCGACTGGCTCGCTCGCTCGACGCTGGTTAACAAGAAGATTACTCCTGCTCCCTACCCTTCCTCCAACTAACATGGTCACATGCCCGGAGGTACCTGGAAGATGAATTTCTTTTTGAAGGGACCGGGCCCCTGTCAGTTGCCATGTTAGAGAGGGTAAGGCTTCGAAACCCGTGGGCCACAGCTTCTGCCAGGGGCCACGACTTGAAAGCCCAAGTAGACCACTGAAATCGAAATCGGTGTGGTTGGGGGCTGTGCTCGGAATATTGTTTGGGGTGGTGGTGTTTGGTGGTGGTTGGTGGTGTTTGCTGGTGGTTGGTGGTGTTTGGTGGTGTTTGGTGGTGTTTGGTGGTGTTTGGTGGTGGTTGGTGGTGTTTGCTGGTGTTTGGTGGTGTTTGGTGGTGTTTGGTGGTGTTTGGTGGTGTTTGGTGGTGTTTGGTGGTGTTTGGTGGTGTTTGTGGTGTTTGGTGGTGGTTGGTGGTGGTTGGTGGTGTTTGGTGGTGTTTGGTGGTGGTGGTTGGTGGTGTTTGGTGGTGTTTGGTGGTGTTTGGTGGTGTTTGGTGGTGTTTGGTGGTGTTTGGTGGTGGTTGGTGGTGTTTGCTGGTGGTTGGTGGTGTTTGGTGGTGTTTGGTGGTGGTTGGTGGTGTTTGCTGGTGTTTGGTGGTGTTTGGTGGTGTTTGGTGGTGTTTGGTGGTGTTTGGTGGTGGTTGGTGGTGTTTGCTGGTTTGGTGGTGTTTGGTGGTGTTTGGTGGTTTGGTGGTGTTTGGTGGTGTTTGGTGGTGGTTGGTGGTGTTTGCTGGTGGTTGGTGGTGTTTGGTGGTGTTTGGTGGTGGTTGGTGGTGTTTGCTGGTGTTTGGTGGTGTTTGGTGGTGTTTGGTGGTGTTTGGTGGTGTTTGGTGGTGGTTGGTGGTGTTTGCTGGTGTTTGGTGGTGTTTGGTGGTGTTTGGTGGTGTTTGGTGGTGTTTGGTGGTGGTTGGTGGTGTTTGCTGGTGTTTGGTGGTGTTTGGTGGTGTTTGGTGGTGTTTGGTGGTGGTTGGTGGTGTTTGTGGTGTTTGGTGGTGTTTGGTGGTGTTTGGTGGTGTTTGGTGGTGTTTGGTGGTGGTTGGTGGTGTTTGCTGGTGTTTGGTGGTGTTTGGTGGTGTTTGGTGGTGTTTGGTGGTGTTTGGTGGTGTTTGGTGGTGTTTGGTGGTGTTTGGTGGTGGTGGTTGGTGGTGTTTGGTGGTGTTTGGTGGTGTTTGGTGGTGTTTGGTGGTGTTTGGTGGTGTTTGGTGGTGTTTGGTGGTGTTTGGTGGTGGTGTTTGGTGGTGTTTGGTGGTGTTTGGTGGTGTTTGGTGGTGTTTGGTGGTGTTTGCTGGTGTTTGGTGGTGTTTGGTGGTGTTTGGTGGTGTTTGGTGGTGGTTGGTGGTGTTTGGTGGTGTTTGGTGGCTGGTGTTTGCTGGTGTTTGTGTGTGGTGGTGGTGGTGGTGGTGGTGTGGTGGTGTGTTGGTGGTGTGTTGGTGGTGTTTGGTGGTGTTTGGTGGTGTTTGGTGGTGTTTGGTGGTGTTTGGTGGTGTTTGGTGGGTGGTTTGGTGGTGTTTGGTGGTGTTTGGTGGTGTTTGGTGGTGTTTGGTGGTGGTGTTTGGTGGTGTTTGGTGGTGTTTGGTGGTGTTTGGTGTGTTTGGTGGTGTTTGGTGGTGTGGTGTGGTGTTTGGTGGTGTTTTGGTGGTGTTTGGTGGTGTTTGGTGGTGTTTGGTGGTGTTTGGTGGTGTTTGGTGGTGTTTGGTGGTGTTTGGTGGTGTTTGGTGGTGTTTGGTGGTGTTTGGTGGTGTTTGGTGGTGTTTGGTGGTGTTTGGTGGTGTTTGGTGGTGTGGTGGTGGTGTTTGGTGGTGTTTGGTGGTGTTTGGTGGTGTTTGGTGGTGTTTGGTGGTGTTTGGTGGTGTTTGGTGGTGTTTGGTGGTGTTTGGTGGTGTTTGGTGGTGTTTGGTGGTGTTTGGTGGTGTTTGGTGGTGTTTGGTGGTGTTTGGTGGTGTTTGGTGGTGTTTGGTGGTGTTTGGTGGAGAGGACCGATTGCTGGGACTCAACCGCATCATGACTTTCAGCAAAGCCCTTCGACCAATTTTCATAGCCATGCAACACCCCAAGGGGGTCAGTGCAAAAAAAGAAGAAGAGGGCAACCTACTCTGCTGATCAAAAATGGAACCTCCACAACCCTCGCTTTGGGGGGGGCCTTTTTGCGGTTCCATGTTCATGTTCATGGCCACCCAAAACCAGCTCAGTCCAGTATCACCCCCTCTTTTCAGAGAGAGAACAACCCGAATTCCCAGAAAAGCCCAACCCGAACTTGCCCGGGAGAATCCTTGGCTCTGAAATGAACATGAACTTTGCAAACATGCCCCACAGGCTTTAGAGGAACCCTCCTTTTGGGGGGCCATCGCGCTGTTGGGGGATCCACTGCTTCCACGAAGAAGCAACTCCATGCGCCTTATTCGCCTGGAAAAACGAGGACATGTGCTTCCAAGAGTAAAATCGATGCCAACTGTCTTTGAGAACAAGTCAAAAAAAAAGAAGAACTGAAACCAAAAAAGAAAATGAAACAAAAGAAGAAGAAAGAAAAAGCCACGCCGATGGCAGAATCCCAGCCCCTGGCGGTGATCATCTGGAACATCAGCTCTTCCCGCGATGCACTGACCACCTGGCCCGTCCGAAAGTGCGCCGGAAGCGAGACCTGCCTTTGGTCTCCGCAGCGAGTCCGTTTCCCAGTTGCAAAACGGGGCCTGGTTCTCGCTTGACCCAACCTTAGTGATAGATGTTCTTTACACCCAACCGTCTTTGCGGGGCTTTGCGGGGAGGGGGCGTAGATGAACAATACAAAAACTTTGGGGCCCTTTTCTGCTTTTTTGTGTCACAATTCGTCAGCTTCCCCCAAAAGGGTGGTTAGAAGCCCGGTGGTTTGGACATGGTTCCCATTTTACCCTGCAAGAACCAGGGCCCCATTCAAATCCAGATCCAAACCAATTTGTGCGGGTACCCTGCGTGAATGAGGAGGTTGAGGAACACATTTCATGGGAACATACTGTTCCTGCCTTTTTTGGGGGACCCCAAAAATGGCAGTTTCCCTTTTGGTGTCCCTTTAAAACCCAACACAAAAATAAGGGCGAGGATCACCCAGGTGTCCCATCCCAGCCCCTGCGCCCTGGCACGTGTCTCGCTTTTGGTCGATCTTCGAGCGCTTCTTTGCCCGTGCGGAAGCGGGATGCGTCTCACGGAATTCATGGAGTCTGTGCCATCCGGAAGTCCCATGCCCAAAGATTGTTGAAGGATGTCCTTTCGATTCCTCACGAACACCTGGCCACAAAGGGATTCTTGGTTGCTGAAATGTCCCAAACATGCCGAGTTCCTTCTGCTTCCCTATATCCTGCCAAGAAGAGGGGGAGCCCAGAGTTCCGTGGACGGACAGGCACAATTCCCCCATTTCATCATTCACCGCACCTGCCTCCGGGAATTGTGGCATCCCTCGTGTCTCTTTTGACACAGGGATATGTGACCGCAGGTGCCATGTGGAAGGGTACCTGGAAGATCAGGTTTTTGTAGGGACCCGTCGGGAGCCATACTGATGCACCACCTAAGAAAGCCTGGAATGATTCGATTCCCCTGTAAATACCAACAAACAGTGGCTTCCCATGGTTTCAAAGTGGTGCGAAATGGATTTTGTCCATCCACAGTAGGAGGGAGGGTACCTCTTGCAGAGTCCCCCCCCCCCCGGCATTTTGAGACCCGACTCACTGCGGGAAGGCTTTGGTGTGCCGCCCTGTCGCCAGCAGCTTCCCGCCAGAGTCCGTCACACGCACCTGCTGCGAGGCGAGAGTTTTTTGTCTGACAAGGGTCCCATTGAGTCTGCCTTTGTTTGAGGGTGCCCCGTTTTTGGCGGTTTGAAGGAAAGCTAAAAGGAAAACCCACCTATTTTTTAGGAGCCTAAAAAGAACACGCCCATATTTCCGAAGCTAGTTGAAACATCACCAGAACTCTGTCTCTGACGTAAGTCAACTCACTTTCCGAGATTGGCAAAAAGGAGTCCAAAATCCTTGTTTGGATTACGTGGGCAGGCCCTGTCTTCCACCCATCTTTGTTCTCACTTTTGCCCAGGGGGGAGCAGCAACTACAAGGGACACCCCGCCATACTTATCCCCTCCCCCTCTCTCCTTTCTAGTTGGGCCACTCCAATAGTGCAAAACCAGTGCAGGGAATGCCACCATCTGGCACAAGGAAGTATTGACTTTGGACAACCCGGTTCGTTGGGTAGCAAAAGAGCCAGTGTTCAACTTTTTCGCGAGCAACAGTCAGTTAGCATACCCAACCAAAAGATACAGTTAGCATTTTGCATAGTAGGGGCTCCATGTGTCCCTGGTTGTTACCTCCCCGGTCACAAACTCAGAGCATGAAATCCCGCCTCTGTAAATCCAAGACTGCGGCCGTACTTGGTGACTTCTCCCTTCAGGGTGATGACCTGTCGATTTCCCACGCTTCAAAAGTGGGGCTTCACGGATTCAGAAAGCGTCCTGTACGTGGATACCCAGAGCCGCCGCTGTGGGGCGGAAGAGGGCACCCAGGCACCCCTTCTTGGACTGAGTTAAATCAATCCAAAGATAGAAACGGGGCAGCAAGCGTCGGCGAACAACAAGCCCTGAGTTGCCTAGGCAAAAACCCTTCTAGCGATCCAACTCACCTCTCCGCTTGGGCTCCAATTTCGGCTTCATGCTGAGGAAACCCCTGTGTCGTGCGGCATCTCCATTTTGGCCAAAGGGCTTTCGGCCCTCACTGATTCTGGTCCCTAAAAACTAAAAACTTGTCTTTTGGATTGGTTTGGATTGGTTTGGATTGGTTTGGATTGGTTTGGATTGGTTTCGATTTGGGTTTGGATTGGGTTTGGATTGGCTCGGCTTTGAGTTTGAACCCCCACCCCACCCCGCATTTTCGACGCAAATAGGACACCCACCCACCCCTTCCCCCGCGACTCTCGCGGCCCTCGCGCCCGCGCCTCCCCCCCTTTGGCGGGCGCCAGGAAGCTTTGGCTCATCTCCACGCTGACCCCGGGCCGCTTCGGGTCCTGCGTCAAGCCGCCATACCGGGGGAGGGCGGGGGTTGGGGGGGGGGGAGGACCATCCCGGCGCGGTTTCCCCATTTTCACACCACGAAATGAGCGGCCGCTGGCCGCTGCTGGGACCTATGGAGATGGAACTCGAAAACCGGGACTTTCCTAAACCATGGGAAACCATGGGAAACCACGAAATGAAACCATGGTTGAAACCATAACGTTTGTTGGTACTTACGCTGGGGCATCATGAGAGAATCAGAAACCAGGGTTTCTGAACGGTGGCGCGAAATGGACATCGAGCAACCATCCACAGTACCCTCACTCCAGCATGGCAGCTGAAAAGGAAATGGTGCCTAGAGGAGGAAACTTATCTTGGTACCCGCACCACCTTGCACAAACAGTGTCTGATTCGATTCCCAACGTATACCAACAAACGGTCTTGCTTCAACCATGGGTTTCTGAGCGGTGGTGCGAAATGGATTTCGGGCATCCACAGTATGGAGCATGGAGATTGAACTTGAAAACCAGTTTCGCACCTGTTTGGATGGAACCGGATTTGAATAATGGTTGGCAAACCACCGATTTCAAGTAGTGCAGAAGTTCGGCTTTCGTCCATCCACAGTATGTTCAGATTCTGCTGATTTTGTCAGCCCTAAAACATGCTAAGACGGAACAATCCAAGAAACACTCTCCCAGAAACTCTCCAGGCGATAAACCAAATCCACTGATTGCTTTTGGTTGTTTTTGTTGGTGTTTGGCTAACTTTCTGGAGATTGTTTCTTACAGACAAGAGGTACATTGGGCATACGTTCACTCTATTCCTTTCTGGAAGAGACCCCTATTTTGGCACAGACCCCCAACCCGAAAGAGGTCAAATGGAGTCGCATCTGCCGAGTTTGACAGGGCTTGTGACCCCCAACTTCAAGGAACTCCCTCACTTTCACCCTAACTGGGGTAGTTGGGGCAGTTGGGGCCCCTCCCCATGGATTTCCATGCTTTACAGGTCTGCTAGATTGAACACCCCAGGTGCTGCCGTGTGTTTCTCAAAGCATGTGGGGCCTTTTGGTAGAGGGAATCCAAGAGGAAACCAACCACCTGTAGGACTTGGCCCCTTTTGAGAAACATATCCCCAGTGGCTTCCAGATATCGGTGACTCACCAGGCGGCTTTTTGCCTTTGTTGGGGTGGGTCCCGAAAAGGCGGGGGTAGGCACAAGGAGGGTGGGTAGTTGAGAGCCTTAGCTAGGTCCTCCAGTAGAGAGGTTCTCATAAGGGTGCCTTTCTTTTTTTCGGTAGTCTATTGTAGTAGGGTCCCGAACCCTCCCAACCAAAAAAGAAACGGTAAAAGGGCACCAAGCTGGGGACCTAGTTGGGGTTTTTTGGGGATTCCTTAAAAACACCTTGAGGACCACCGGGCGCTTCCGCTTCCTTGGTCAGGAGCGCCATGGTGCCCAGGACGTCCACCAGCGTGGCGGTGCACCCCCCGTGCAGTGTGCCGTAGGCGTTCTGCAGGCTGTGGTCCACCAACAGCTGACACCTGGGAGCACTGATTCTCGAGCTTTTTGGATGGAGGAAAAACTAAAACCCCCAAAATGGCAGGGAAAAAGAGGGCTCTCCTGCGGGGGTCCCACTTGAAAAACACAAAAAAAAGTCTAGAAAAGACACACAGACTACACCTCCAGTGACCTGCGAGATTTTCGTGACTCTAAAAAAGACCCGGGTCGCCCGTTTTTCGTGATTTGAAAGAGAAACCAAAAGAGGCCGATGCAAAGCTCCACCTTTCAGCCCATTTGTCCAGGAAAAGACATCGGGGTGGAGGGGAAAGGGCAAAGGGGAGGGGAGGGGCCCAGGGTGAGAGTCAACTGGGGTCCCAGCTCAACATATCCGTCCGCCACCTTCACGCACTCCATACCTGGCCGATTCGCGAAAGCTTCAAGTAATTCCATGTCCCTGGATAAGCCCCAGCCATGAAAAAGAAAGGTTAACCCTCGGATTCATAAACCCTCCCGATCAAAGCCTAAACCTGCATCAAAAACGAAAGGACCTCATCCCTTCAGCCGATTATCGAGGAATGACCGAAGCAAGTGTTCTGGTTCTCATTCTTGGAACGGTTATGAGAAAGCCTGTAGCGGTTATTGTGGGTGGTTTGTGTGTTTTGCAGGTGCCCTTGAGTGTGGATCTGAGGGGAACCAAAAGAAAACCATCATTTTGGGATCAGCCTACTTGGCCCCAAAATGATGTCCACCATGTCGGGTCCCCAGTGTCCAGCTACCCGACACACTCAAATATGGTGGTCTGCCCTTTGCTTTCCCGAAGCAACCCCGTCTACAGAGGCCACCCAAATGAAGTCGTCCTTTTATTGGGAGCCATCTGCTGGTTGGTTTTAAGGGTAAACCAAAAGGAAACCCTGTATCTTCGGGGGAGGGGGGGTTCTAAACAAAAGAAGCACTCAAATCTTGTGGAGGAAAAAAGCAACCCCCGAAATCGATGTTAACCAAAGAATCAGCTATAGCCACCAAAGGCTCCCCGGTACAAAAAGTCTCACCAAGTAAGCTCCCTGCGAAAGACACACCTATTTTAAGTAATTGCCAAGTAAGCGGCTCTCCACTTGGGTTAATTCACCCCCGAAGGTCGACCCCACATTCACAGAGGACTTACAAGTGGGTGAGAACCGAGCGGTTAAACAACTTAGCTCGGCGAATCGAACCCAAGTGGCCAGTGTGGTTTACCCTCTACGAAAGCTCACAGAAGTGGACGAATCTTCGATCGGCTTCCATGGGTGAGATTGGTCAACCAGCATTCGTGTGCCTCCTGTTTTTGGGGGAACCCCCCAAAATGGATTCGTACGTACTCGGCCGCGAGGTCTGGCAAGTACCCTTTTGAAAGGGGTGTTTGTAAGGGAAACCGGAAGAAAACTCCACCCATCATTGGGGTTACCCCTATTTCAGACACACCAACAAGGTAGGGGGTCTTCCAGGGTTCTACATTTTGACCCCAAGATCGACTTCAACCCAGGGGTTCTCCTTTTGGTTTTAAAACTACCCTGGGCTAGATCCTTTGTAGACGACTTAATTGAATCCAGGTGTTGTAAGATTCCCTCTCTTGTTTTTTTTTTTTTTTTGGGGGGGGGGGTGGGGGGAATAAACCATCCCTGGGCTTCTGCGTCACCCTGAACCAGGAATTCTTAAAGGTAACCCCAATGATTTGTGGAGTTTTCCTCCAGTTTCCTCACAACCCGCCATTTGCCTGAACTCTGACATTCTCCACAACATTCCCTTGAATCCAGGTATTGTCTTCTACTTCTTGCCTACCCCAAGATAGACTTCGGGGTCCTCCTGTTGGTCTTAAGACTGCCCTGCATAACCCAAGGGGTCTCCACACCAAAAGTGGAACCCTTGGGTCACTGCATTCCCTTCAGCTTCTTGGCCTCTCAGCACGCTGTCGAAGCGGTCCCCGGTGCTCTGGAAGCTCCCCAGCAGCGACTCTCGGCCCATATTGGCCGCCCGCGCGATATACCTGGAGCTCCCGTCCCAAAAGGATGCGCCCTTTGCTTTACCCTGCTCCACATAAATTTACATATATATATATATATATGTATATGTATATAAATATAGTTGTTTGTACGTGTGTATGTATTTACATATTTTCATATATATGTTTACTTGTTTTATTTATTTATGCATATGTGTCTACTTTGTTTTATGTAAGTATGTCTTTATGTATTTGTGATTTTAAGGGCATGAGCATAACTGAGGTGTATTTAGCAAGGAAAGCCAGGTTTTCGAAATGTGTCCTTTACCCACAACCACAGTCCTAGTTCTGCTTTGAGGGTAGCAGCTGGAACTTTGTTTTTTTGTTGCCCAGACTGTACAAGAAAACCCTTTCCGCAACAAGTAAAAACCAAACTGGTCAACTGGGACCTGCGGGCGGCGTTTCTTCCAAAACGAGGTGCCCAAATTGATATCCCCTTCTAACGTCTGTGTCTGTGTGTTGGCATGTTTGATTGGTTGTGTGATTGCGTGATGTATGCTTGCGTGTTGTCTGTTTGTGGTGTGTGTTTGTTGCTCTGTTGTGTGTGCCCACGCATTCCTTCAGCAGCTCTTGCCCAGCTCAGAATCACAGAATCAGCGTCTAGCCCACATTTAGCAAGATATGCAACCCGAACCTCCAGTCACCATGTGGGAAAAGGGAGCCTATTGTTTCAGTGTTGTTCAAGGGCGGCGCACCGTCCACATAGGGAGAAACCCACTGACACCGGGGTAAAATTATGTAGGTGGTCTCAGGGTCACATAGAGGGATCCCCTAAAACTGTTGGTTTTCCCCGTGGCTCCCCTTTGAAAGACCCAAACAAAAGGGAACCGAGCCTCAAAAAAGGCCCACCGAAAAAGATCGTTGCTCACACGTGGCCTTTTGCCCCCCAGATCAGCTTCGCCCACCAATTTCTCTCTGAGCCTCGTGCCCAGTGCCCGAAAACCTCCGGGCGCCGGTCAAACGTCTCGCCACGGCGGCGGCCAGCATCGCGTGTGAAGCTCAGCTCGCGCGAGCGAAGCGTCGAGGTCCCAAGCGCGTGCCGCTCCGAAAGCTGAAAGTGGGGCGCGGGATGACAGACACGTTGTGCAATGAGTCAATGGTAGATCCTGCAAGAGTCGAACAAATACATCTGGTTGCACCCTTTGGATTCCCTGAGTCGGAATCAAAGCTGGAATCCAACGTTGGATCTTGCTCTACGCTTGAGCTGCGGAGAGCACCAAAGCAGCCGGCAAAGCACAGGACGAAAGCAGCAAGTTGCTTCCGGGGCCCATTCAAAAACGGAAACCAGAATGGAAGATGGAGGGCGAGAGATTTCCAGCACGATTGCTGGAAGGGCTTCCTAAATGGGATTCTTAGCAGAGTTGATCTCTCTCTCGCTCTAGTGCTATTCCGCAGGTCCCAAAGTTGGGAGTCAAGGAGGCTCCGGAAATGTCCCCCCTTTCAAGGTCAGTCTAACAAGTTGAAACTTTGTTTCAACCCAAAGGAGTGACGTTTTGAACCACCAAAATGGAAAACGCGGGGAACCCCTGCCAAAGGAGCAAAGTTTCGCCCAGATCCGGGACCCAAAAAAAGTTCTGCATGTGTAGACTCTGGCCTTTTCTTTGTCTATCCTAAGACATAAAATCGGTTTTGGAACCCGGAAAGGAGCAGCCAGCAAAAAAACTGGGCAACGTCTCCTCACTTCCTGAGTGTAGCTTCCTTTCAGTTTCCCTGCAAAACGACCCCAACAACGGGACACACCCAAAGAACTACCTCTAGCTGCCATTTTGTTCGAACCATCAATCATGGTCTTCAAACCACTAACCGGTTGCTTTAACACAACCCTTAATTATTTGCCAAATGGTAGTGATTTCCCCTGTTGTGGTGTCCCGTGCGTTCAGGGAATGACCGTCGGTTGGTTGGTTGCTTGGCTGGCAGGCTGACTTACACTTTGGTTTCGGAGTATGTTGCCAATGTTTTGCCGGGGTCTCCTCCAGAACTACATTTACCCTCCCGTCCGCTGACGTGGAAGTTATCAAAGGGTTCCTTATACACAAACATGGCCCCCCCCCAGTTAGGCTCCATGCTAGTAGATGGGTACGAAAACTATTCTGTTAGGGGAGACTCAATATAGAGTGCTGGATTTTTGGCACAGAGGACTTGCCATTCTGGGCTTGGGCCATGTAACCAAACAAACTTCCAGGGGGTTGATCCCCAAATCCCTCTCTCTGCAACCGTCCTTCTTTTCAAACAACCGACTGCTTCCCCAGGGGATTTGGGTGGTTTTCCTGATCCCTGGAAGGAAAGGACCCCTCAAGCTCGCCGTGGCTGGCGCGTCTCACCTCCGCGTACCTCGCCGTCACAGGTTTCTTGTAAAACACGCCCACCTTCTGTCGGTTGCGTTCTGTTCCCCTGCTAAAAGCTTAACTTTTCATGGTTTAATGGAAAACCCATTAGTTGGCAACAGGTTAAAGTCCTAACATCCAAGCAAAATGCACCCACCTTCTGTCGTTCTCCTTTTGGTTGCAAAAGCCGTTAAAAGTCTGCAAACCTTGCGAGCTGCTGGAGTCTGATCTTTGGTTGAACCATTTTATTTGCAAGACAGGTAGCTTACTTTTTGGAGCACACTTGATCTGGCGTTGTCCCAAATTAAGGAACTTCAACAACAGGGCGGTGTCTTCTTGTTCAGGCAGGGCGCGTGTCCCATTTTCGGGCATCCAAGTCACTATCCCCCCCCACCCCCCACGGTGTGGATGCGGAGATGAGTTCAGCCACTTGGATGAAGTTTGTGTCCAAATGACCATAAACCTTAAGAGTTGGAACCTGACAAGTGGTGGACATGAATCCCCTCAATGTCCACCTTTCCACGCCCCCTAAACGGGAAATGACGCGCTCCGGCTTCCGATTGATTCCCCAAAAAAAACAAGAAAATGCATCCAAAAACAACTGGGAGACTCTAAATTAGCTGGTGTTTGAAGGATACATCCAAAAACCACCGGGGTCCTCTAGATCAGCTGGTGCTTTCTTCCGGCTGGGCGATCTTCGTATCCCTTCGACCCTGATTTACAGAGAGGTGGTTCTGCTTCACTCCGCGCACAGCATGCCCTCCAGCGGACTGAAGAAGGTGACCTCAGGTTTTGCCCTCCAGGCGCTTCGAGCTTTGGGAACCCCTTGCTTAAGAAGCTCCGCCCTCTCACTGGAGAAAAACACTTTCCTCCGGCATTTTCTTTTTCGGGGGTGCACAAGTTTTGAAGGTTAGGGACAGCTTCTCGCTTTTTTCTGCTTTTTCGGGGTGCACATTTTTTGCAGGTTAGGGACCGCTTCCCAACCAGAAGCACTTTGCGGAGATCCGCCTCTTTCTCGATTCTTAATGGGTTTTGGGTGATCGGCCAGGGTTTTTGTTTTCACATTGTGACTCTGGCTGAACTACCCACTTGTCCACAAAACCTGCGCAAAAGAACTACACATCACCAAAATGTGTGACCTACCCTGGTGCCCAGATACCATGAGAAACTAAATATGTGGAATGAGGTTACGAAGTACTACTAGATCCCGCAGTTGGTGAGTGAATTGTTTGTCCCAGAGGATATGGACTAAACCAAGTTGCGTCATGATCATAGGAATCATAGGCTTGAAATCATTTCGCCCCTATATTGAGGGGGTTATCAGATAGGGGTCCCCTAAAATTGAGTGTTTTCCGGCTGGTGTCCCCAGAAAGCCACCCCAAGGGTACCGAGCTGGGTACCGAGCTTCAAAACACACACACACACACACACGCACGCACGCACGCACGCACGCACGCACGCACGCACGCACGCACGCACGCACGCACGCACGCACGCACGCACGCACGCACGCACGCACGCACGCACGCACGCACGCACGCACGCACGCACGCACGCACGCACGCACGCACGCACGCACGCACGCACGCACGCACGCACGCACGCACGCACGCACGCACGCACGCACGCACGCACGCACACACACGTGCAGGTGGTGGTTGCATTAAAGTTCAAAGCTACGCAAAGGGAATTGATTGCCCATCACCCAAATCCCCCACCGAAATGCAATCCCCCGCGGCTTGCTTTCCATGAACCCTCCCCATATGCCAAAACTGAGGCCCCTGCAAGCTTGATGATGGCCTGGCGGGAGGAAAGGTGGGCCTCTGAGAACCCCCCCAAGGTCCAAATGCCAAATGACCCATGGACTGGTACATGTTTGACCCAACCTCGCATGAAGAATGCTCCTTACAGCTCCGAGCAAACCCTGAGTTCTACGCATACGCCCTCTCAGATCAGCGGTGAGAGGAAAACGGAATGAAAAGTAGCATCTGAGGCACCCTGTCCACAATCCCAATCAGTGGAGTAGGATTTCAGCAGAGCCTCTTGAGGGCAGCAGGATCTCAACCTCCTCTATGAAGTCGGCAAGACTATGCCACGAAATCCCCAAAGACATCCCGAAGCCAAACCCACCCAAACCCCCAACCCCCCCACCAGGAGACCTCGTCACAGAGAGTACCCCCACATCTCAAGAGACGTCCACAGATTTCAAGGATCCGCAAGAGCTAGACATCCCCAACTAAAGTTAAAGAACATGTTGGAGCAAACGGAAGACATGTCAAAGCAATTGCACCCAACGCCCAAGACATCTCTCCAAAAAGGCCACGTCCAAAAAAGCACCCGCCGTTGGGCCATTCTCCAAAGACCAAATTAGCCGAAAAAACTCCAAAGACTTCAAAGCCGCCCGCAACGACACGCAAACGCAACATCCCGAAGAAGAGATTTGTGAGCCTCAACCTATCCCCACTGATACACAGAGCCCACCATTTTTTGGCGCTGAAGCTGCGCACCAGCACATCGATCAGCCCCGAAAGCTCTTGAACGACTTTCAGTGCCATCCGCGTGCCTCGAAGATCTCGATGACCTCTGGCTCGTGCAAATTCACGGGCTTTGCGTTCACCTGACTTTTGTTGGCGGCCCGAGTCGAATCAGGTGCCTCGTCTGTGAGGGTACTTGGGAAGCCCACAACTCCGACACCTACTAAAGGACACCTAGAAGGCAAAGCAGGGTTTTTCCACCAACAAGTCAGTTTAACCAGGTCTTTGGAAGGTTTCGGGTTCCTTCTGTTGCTGGCCTGTAAAGGTTTTTGTTTTTCTGTCGATGCCCTCCCACCAAGCACCATGGAAGTGGCTTCAGTCGGGCTTCCCCAAAAGGAAAGCCTTCATGGGAGGGAGGGCAAGGGGGGTGTCAGAATGGGGCGTTCCTTGGAGCCCTTGAAAGCCCACAAATAACTGGCAACCAGTTTGAGAAACCCTGTTCTGACTGAAATCTCTGCAGGGGGGTGTCATTTTGAGAGGCCCTGATCTGACTGCAACCTGAAAAAAATAACCGGCCTCGGGGGGGGGGGGGGTGTTGACCTGCAAAAATGGAGGCGTTCCGCAGATAGAAAGATGGTCGTTTCCTCAAAGCGGGAAGATTAAAGCTCACAAATCCAAAGATTTGTCGCAAAATACAGCGGCTTTCAGGTTCTTTACAGGTTCACTGATGCTTCCCCTGCAAAGGATCCACTTTTCGACTGCATGCTAAATTCAGCAAACAAACCCTATTGACTTTTGGTTCTGCCAGCAAGGTCATAACAAGCTTTACTTCCATAAGCCCTATGAACCTCGGTAAGCCATGTCTCAAGCAGCACCATGCGGACTGCGGCCACATGGCCCCTTGGACTTGTGCCCTTTGCCATCCGTCTGCGACACACACACACACACACACACGCATGCACATACACGTACAAACACAAATGATCATGACGACGACGACGACGGCGAGGAAGAGGGATGATGTTGATGATGATGATCATCCTCATCATCATCATCATCCTCATCATCATCATCATCATCATCATCAACATCATCACCATCATGATCATGACTATGATCATGATCATGATTTCGGGAGCATCGCTCCAGTCAGACTGCAAAACCAGCACGCTCTCTTGGTGCATCGGCCATGCAATCAACCCCCCCCCCCCGCCGCTCCCGGCCTCCGAGCCGCCACTGCAAGCCTCAGCTCCGAGGGGGCGCGAAGAGAAGATCCGAATCCAAAGGTGTCCGTCCCTTCTACTCCCCTGCAAACATCAATATAAAGGAGCCCAAAAACGGGGGCCCATCTCCCACAAGGCCCACGATGCTGGACATGGCTGGGTTCTGTGGCATGTTAAACTGCAGGGGGGAGATGAAGCATCACAGCAAGATCCATCGATTCTCCGAAGGTCAAGCGACTAAGGAGCTATAGGGATCCAAAGTGGTGCCCTACCTTTCGGGGGCTTTCCCCAAAGGCCAGCTGTGAGGCCCAAATGGGACTGGGGTTTTCTGAAGGGCCTCACTCAACCTTGTGGGCTCGTTCTTTTTCGGGAACCCAAAGGAAAAACCGCCCATGTCAAAGGGCCTCTGTTAAGACCCACATTAAACCCTCTTTTGAGACCCACCCACTTTGGTGGTTTGCCCTTGTATTCCCTCGCCCCAAAAAGGACAACGCGCGGGAGAAAAGAGAAAAGACACGCGGCCAGCTGATTTCCCGCCAGCTTGCCTTCCAGAGACGATCGAAGCTCTCCCCCTTCATGGACAGGAGCTCCATCCTTGGCCAATGCTGGCGTAATCTCAGATGCCCAGTGGATTTCCGTGGGAAAAAAAGGGCATCTTTTTTTTGGGTTGGTGGACTTTAAAGGGAAACCCTTCCCCAAAAAAAGGAAGAAAGGGCACCACTGGGCAACTGGGTATTGGTCTGGCTCGGTGTTTTGAGGGTCTCCAAGACTTAAGTTGGGGGTTGAAATCCATGAGAACTGGTCAGCTAAAGATTCAAGTGACTGAACATTTGGCTAAAGCCCCCAAAGCACGCCGGTCTAAGAAGGGGCGCTTGCATTTGTTCTACATTATCATTATTGTTTGATTGTTTGATTTGTGTTTGTGTTTGATTAATCAATATGTATTTGTATGTATTTGTGTAATAGATTTCGATATGGTTCCATAATATGTAATTTAAAATTCTCTATATGCCTAGACCTATCTCATAATTTGTACATGTTCTACTACTCAGTTAGCCCCCCTCAAATGTCAAATGATAGTTTGTTTTGAAGCAATTGAAGACTTTAGAAGGAGAGAAGGAAGAAGAAAAAAAAAGAGAGAAGATTGAAGAAAAAAACAACTTCAAAAAGATGGAACTGGATAGTATTCTATTAAAACAATAAGGAAAAGAAAAACAACATGACTTTTTTCAAGATGAATTTAACAGAACTATTCGCATTGTAATGTGGGATCGATTTTGTTAGATTTTCAAATTCGCGCAAATATTTCGAAGCTTCACATGTTTGTTTTTCAAAGATTCAAATCAAAAAAAAAAGTTTCCTCGATTTCTTGGGGACCAAACAAAAACAAAAAAAATAGCAAAACATAGTGGACAATTCGATCAAATATGAAATTAGAGCGGTTGTGGGGTTTGATGACAAAAAAAAGGAACGGAACTCAAAAATAATGAAAAACGAAAAATAAATAATCGAAGAAAATCAAGGCAAAAACTCAAGTGGTCTCACTTGAGCGCAGAGGGGCCAAGCGCAAACTCGTAAACCCACGGCCCATGGCACCAACTTCTTCTTGGCCCGATGCTCTTAGTTTTTGTCGATCTTCGGAGTCTGCTTCTCATATTCCTGCCATCTTCGCCGTTGAGCCCCCGACAGAATCCGCATCTCATGCAGCGCCTGAGTCGGTTCGACCCGAGAGGACAGTGTTCTTTTCCCTGGCAAGAGGTCTCTCAAGTTTGCTTCAACACAACAGAAAACTTCTGAGTCAAAGTCTTCAGAAATGTCACTGAGACCGTACTGTGGAAATCCATTTCGCACCACCCAAGAAACTCTGGAATGATTCGATTCCCAAACGTAAATACAAACAAACAATGGCTTCGACCATGGTTTCTTAGGTGGGGCGAAAATGGGAGAAACGCAACCATCCACAGTATCACACAACTAGCGATGCCCAATGATGCCTGGGTACTTTGCGCATCTGAAGGCTTCGGAGCCCAAAAAGCGAGCTCCATTTCCCAACAGGAGTCTCCTCTAACGGTTGGTTTCTTGGCTCCATGCGAATCAGGATTTAAAAAAAAGCGACGCTCACTCTTTGGGCAGGTGAAAAACCCACGAAAGTCAGTGCAAGGACCGAAGGGAAGGGAAGACTGCCACAAACAACTGGCCTTCGCTGCCCTTCCCTGGCCTGATTTTGGTCAAAGTCACCCTCTGAGTGGGTGAAAGGGAAACGAAGCTTCCCTTTTTTTTTGAAACCGTGATAAATAACCCCCAGAAACCGTCAAGATGACCCAAAGCCATCTTTTGACTTTGAGAACCCCCAGAAAAACCGGCCAGATGACCTCATCCAGCTCCCCTGGCCAGCCCGAAGCGAGCTTTGCAAAAAAAAACTCTCAGCTGGCGGCAGTGATGCACTCAGTGACTACGTTCTCGCCCTTCCAGTCCTGTCTGGAGCTGCGGAAAGAGGCTTGAATTCGACAACGCGCGCGACGCATGGCATTCGTGTTCACATCAATAGGGGGTTGGCCACATTGACCTGGGCTTGTTTTTTTTGTTTGCTTGTTTTGTTTTTCTGTTTCTATATGCTTTCTTTGGTTGTTTGCTTGATTGTTTGATTGCTTGTTTTTTTGCTTGTGGGTGACCCTTTGAAGCTCTGAAACATCTGAGGCCGCGGCAAAACCTCAATTGAAATGGGCTGCACATGTGTTTTCTTATCGTTTTTGCGTCAAAGTTTATCGTTTTACACATTAGATGTATGTTCAACCTTATCGTTTTTTTTTGCACCTCATCGTTTTACAGGGATTCGCGCATTTTTGGACAACTGCGCGCATCAGCTCTCATAGTGGCTTCAAAGGCTTTCTTCGTCGGACTCACGAGCAGCAAGCTCCTTCCATGCTTTTCGTTTGCGCTTGCTTGCTTCAATTTGTTTGGCTAGCCTGCGCTCATCAACTGCAATAATGTGTTCCAACGTAGAGTCCAAGACATGTTCCAACGTAAAAGACAAGTATGCTGTCCATGGCGGGGAGACAAAGGGAAAGCTAGGGTAGAGTGGCTAAGTTCCTCTCAATGGGCAACTCCTCACAGTTCCTCACAATGTGCGAGACTCTTACATCCCGCAAGCACGAGAGTATTGCCAGTACCTCATCTGCTGTCCCATGTATGATACTGTGCAGATTCGAATTCAGATGCGCCAAGGCTTAGGCGCCAGAGTTAGGGGGGCTCCGGGGGCGAGGCTTGCCCCGTTACCAGCTACAATCCCAACGGGTCCACTCGTGCATGTGCCAGTTGACCAGTGGTATTCCAAGAGAGATCAAAGGGCAAAGCGTCGCCAGTTGGGGGCGCCCTTATGTTCAGAAGCAAACAAACCTCCCATAGATTTCACCCACCCACCCACACACACCCACACACACACACCCACCCACCCACACACACACACACACTTATCTCGAGAGGCTTCACTAGCCGAGATGCAAAACGCAGTCAGTAAAAATGCTTGAATGCAAATGCAAATCAACAGGTCACAACATCGACACCGAACAGGAAGCAACAGCGACAAACAGAAACCGCAAAAAGAATCAGGAAAGAGGGTCAGGAAATAGGCAGGTACGCCGGATTGATCAGATCCGGTATCCACCGAAATGCCGTAGCTTCATTGGACTGGATAGGCAAATCGGCTCCAGTCCCCCTGCAATGTGGAATTTCCGTCCGTGCTCCAGGACGCTTCACACACACGGAGCCCCAACTGGGGCGACATCACTTGTGCAAGGCCCATTGAGTCTTGCAAGCATCAATTGTGCGAGAAAGTCTTGTGGCGATGACTGACCACACATACTTGGCTTTGGAATTGGTCTTAAGGGAACGGAGGAGTTCAATCTCTCCCTCAGTCCAAGGCTGCGAGGCTTCAGGTTCGGCCTCAGTAGAGGCATCAGTCCTGGTCGATGTGGTAGCTTCGCTTGGTCCACGAGCAGGTTTTGGATGCCGTAGATCGTGAGGAGGCCAAATCACGTGCGCGGCGAGCTCGTTTTTCGCCGGGAGAAGACGGAGGAGGGGTGGGCGGAGCCCAATGATCAGGGAATTGTTCGTCATGATCAGTGGGAAGGTGTTCATCTGGAGCATCAGGAGGTGGCTCAAAGAGGTCCTCGAGGGGGGCCAGGAGGGGTGTTGGTGGTGAGTTGGTCAGGTCCTCAATGGCGGGGTTGAACGTGGCCTCCGGTGCCAAATCAGGTTCGGCAGGCGGACTCTCAGGGAACTCGCGGATGGTGGCGATGCCTTGTTGGGCAATGCCAAGGATGAGTTCGAAGTCTTGGAGCAGCTGGCGTGCTGTGTTGGTATCCATGCTCGTAACGGATTTTGGTCAAACAGTCAAACAGCTGCGGCGCGAAAATCAGGTCAAATCTGTCAGGATGCAAAGGCAGAGAAGAAAACCAGTGTGGTTCCGCAAAGGACGGTTTTTCTTCTCTTTGTAAGGTGAAACCGTGTTGGAGGTGCAACCTCTTCAACATTGCAAGACCCTGACCTCGCTGAAACTCAGGAAAGGAAACTCGGTTGATCAGCGTGCGTCCGGAATAACATCCAGATTCCTTATGCATCAGTGGTGCGGCTGACTTGACGGAGAGCATGTTGTGCTTCTCATGCGAGGGGATGAAGGAGATGGTGCTGCTTGTGAGGTTCAGTCGGAACCCCAAGAAGTCCAGGGCGGCTTCTGTGTCCAGGAAGATGTCTCCTCCATAGAAGTGTTCGTCGCACAGTATGTTGGCTGCCGGAGTCGAGAGCCACCTGGGGGTTGCGATCACGAGTCTGTTGTCCACGTAGCGGAGTAGGAGAGTATCTTCAACGGAGCGAAGTCCCGATGTGATGTGAGTGTTGGTCCAACATTGTTCGGCGACCGCGATCACCATCAAACAGAGAGCTGGGGACGCGGGGGATCCCATCGGTGCCCCACGTGTTTGCCTGAATGAACGAAGGCCGACAGAGAAGATCTGCATGTCAAGGGTGGCCTGAATGATCTCGGGGATGTCGTCGAGCCACAGGGTGCGTTGTGTGGGTTTGTGTCGGCGACGGCGTCCGTTGTAGACGCGGGTGATGGCAGAGGTGTCAAGTGTGTCCACTGTGAGGTGTGTGGTAGAGGAGTGTGGTTGTCGTTGTCGGTACCAGGTTAGCAGTAGTCGCCAGGCGAGGAAGGGTGCAAGCATCGGTCTGGAGGGGCCAGGTGGAATGAGGCCCCGGAATTGTAAACTGGATCGAATGGCGGAAAGGCATGCCTGGTGGTGTGGTTCAGGCAGGTGTGTGGCTATGCGATGAAGGACATAGAGAGCGGCGGGTGGGAAGTCTCTGCTCCGTATGTAACGGATGGCATCAAATCGTCGTAGAGTGTTGCTGCCAAGATCGCCCAAAAATCGCCACAAATCCAGGCGGTTGTCCACGCGTTTGGCCAGGAAGGCCTGTTGTAGGGCGATGGGTAGTCGTAGTCGGCGGCGTTGTCGCCAGATGGTGGCGAAGCCCATGTGCCGGGATTGGGAGAAGTCCAATTGGCGTATGAAGCCCGTGCGTGGCCGGAAATGTTTCTCGATGAAGCCAAAATTGAGAGACGGTTGCAGTTCCTGGATGTAGAACTGTTCAGTGGCAAATAGGTCCGTTGCCGGAACGACAGTGTGAATGGGCACCGAGGTGTAGTGGTGGAAAAAGTCGAAATGTGCCCACCACCGGACTGCCAGTTCGGCATTGACCAGATGATGTCGCTGAACTTGGAGTAGTTTGCGAAGTTGGCTGCGGCCCCGTGCCATGAGGGAGGCGCGAGTGGCTCCGAGGTAGAAAAAGGCCTGCCACTTTGGATGGCTGGTGAATCTCAGATAAACCGCTGAAGGGACAAGCTGAGAAGAGAAATCGGAAGCAGGGTTGTCCAGGCCAAGTCGAGTAAGCAGGGCTTTCAGTCTGCCGGAACCACAGGAGAGATGGCAGACGTCAAGTAGCTGAAGCTGTGCGAGTAGCCAGGAGCAAGAATGACGTGCGGTGACGTCATCGGTTGGGAAGAACCGAAGAGTGAAACGGAGGACAGTGAGAAGTTGGCAGCAGTGGTGTTGCCAAAATTTGTGCTGCCTGGCTGTGCGTCGTTGTCGGTGTGCTGTTGAGAGTCACTGGTAGAAGTGACTCGCAGCGGCCAGGATGCGGCCCAAGGCCGATGACCCCAGTTTTGATAGGGTTCGCACCGGGATGCCCCATAGCACAGCGGCTCGTTCGAGTTGGGCTCTGGTGTCGGAGTCCAGTGTGGTTGCCCATTTTGCGCAGTCGTTGGACCAGCTTTTTAGGACTTGCTTGCTCTCTTTGCTGGTTTTCTGAGAGGTGATCCATCGCTGGACTTTGGTGTCGGAAATGTCGGGTGGGAAGTTGCTGGTGAGCCATTGGCAAACGTGGGGAGGTGGTTGGAGCAAGTCGCGGGGCTCCTTCCAAGTGGGTGGGGAGGGGAGGGGGGGAGGGGTCGGGGTGCCGCCGTGGGTGGAGGGGGCAGGAGGGTTGCCGCCGTGGGTGGGGGGAGCCGGGGGGGGTTGGGAGTCGTCTGCAATGCGAGTGGGCAGGGGTAGAGCGGGGGATCCGTCCTGCGGTGATGTGTCAGGTGTAGTCAACCGTGGTCGCTTTATGCCGAAGTCCAGGAGGGAGGCCTGAGATGGACGGGGGGAGGGGGGGGAAAGGGGTTGCCGCCGGGAGGGGGGGGGAGAGAGCCGCCAAAGGAGGGTGGACGAGGGCCGGGGTGTGGTGGGTAACGGGGAATAGGTTGGCCGTAGGTCTGACAGGGAGTCGGATGTGTAGCTGGCGGTGCCGATGCCGTGGAAGAGCATCCGTAGGAAGGCCCGGACAGGGCCCCGCACGGGTTCCCGGCCATGTTGTTGCCGTACACGATGCCATGATGATGGGATGCCGTGGGCGAAGGCTGCGGTGGTAAGTTTTGCCTTTGGAGCGCCGTAACCAAACCTCGAGGGGGTTGGAAAGCCATGAGAAAACACGGGGGAAAAGGAAATGTTCGAACCACAAGCTGGTGAGCGGAATCAAGCGGGTAAGGTCACAAGGTGAGAGAACGGTCGCGGAAAGGCAGAACAGCAAAGCAAAGAAAAAAGGCGATCAAACAGTGCACCAATTCTTTTCCTGGTTGGGTGGAAGATGGTACAGTTGCGCCCCGCTAAGCCGGGCGCTGCAGCGCGATGCCTCTCAGCATCGCAAACTTGGAGTGAAGGCACCACTTTTTGCCTCGGCGGCATGCGAAGTGGCGCCGCACGTTGTGTTGATCCTCGTGGCTTCCCCCGGATTCGAGGATTTTGTGCTGATTGATGGAGCGTAGTTCCCCAAAAGCGATGGCGCCGAGTTGAGACTTTCCGATTGTAAAGTTCTGCAAGAGCTGGCCGAGCGTGTCGGGCGTGCATGCCGTGGGGGTGGCCTGAGCGTAGCATCCAAAGCTCGGGTAGTCATGGTTCTCGGGCCTCCAAGCAGCGGGTCGGATCATGTTCTCATGGCACATGCGGCGCACTCGATCCGGGGTGGTGCCGTGCACATACATGACAGCGTGATGGGAGGCCGTGCCGGATCCAGCTTCCGGGTCTCCGCCAGCAACTGGCCAAGGATGAGGTCGGGGAAACCAAGTGGTTGCGAACACCATGCCGTGTGATTCCCGTCCCAAGAGGTGGTAGAAGCTGGGATCGAACGGTATGGGATCATCCGTGTCCATGGTTCGCAGTTCCCAGCATTCCGCGAGGAGATCGGCATGTGAAGGTGGCAAAGCAGGGTCCAGGTCCATCAAAATGGCCTTAGTCTGTTCCACCCTGGAGATGTCCAAGGCTGGAAGCGGGTCCAGCTCCCCCAACTCCCTAGGCGTGGGAACTCGCAGCGGGTCAGTCTTGGCCGTGTCCATGACGTTTCTCCATAGATCAAGCCACCGGTTGTCGGAAGTGGTGGTGGCATTGATGTCCGCCTCCGATGGAGGGGGATCCAAATCACCGGTGTTGTCGAAGGGGGGTTGGGGAGGGTGAGGAGTAGCCGGCGTGGGTCGGGGAGGGGGAGGGGGAGTGGAAGTGAAGGCCGCCGCAGGTGCTGGGTGAGGGGGCAAGCTAGTGTTGTGGTGGCCGGTGCGGGAAGTGGGGTGGGGTTGCTGCCCATGGTGCTGCAGTGACCAGGACGGTCGTTTGCCCTGGTTGTTTCGGTGGCCGGTGTGGCTGGCGCCATGGTGGTGCATGTCCCAGCGGTTTTTGTTCTGTGGTGGGTATCCCCACGATTGGTTCCGCCAGTGTGAGGAGGACCATTGAGACTTGTTGGAATCCTTCCCGGAAGTGCGCCAGGAGGTGGAATCATGAGTAGTGTGAGTGGGTCGGTGCGAAGTCGTGGCTCTGGGTGCAGGGGAGTGTCGATGGTGGGACCTGTGTCGGGGGGAGCGGGAGCGGAGGGAGACAGTGGAGTGGTGTGCACGTCGGGAGTGGTGGAAGTGTCGGGAAAGGGAACGTGACCTGCTGTAGCTGCGGGATCGTCGGGTGTCGTGTCGTCGGTGCGACTTGTTGTGCCTGCGATGGTGGCTGGTGTGGGAGTGGGAGTGTCGGTGCTGTCTGTGGCGGGAACGGGATCTGCGAGAGTGGGGATGGTGCCGAGTGTCCGGGGGAGGGTGGTTGGTTGAGGAGGTAGCGGCAGGAGCCGCAGCGGCAGCTTCGGGCGCGCGCGCCGGCTGAGGCTCGGGCAGTGAAGATGGCATGCTGCTCTGAGTCATGAAAGGCATGATGGTGCCAGGTGCCAAGTTGCCGTAATTGGGAGGGCCACCGTAGGGCATCATGGCCATCGGGTTGCCAAAGTTCGAGAGGCCGCCGTAGGGCATCATGGGGAAAGGTGTGAAGGATGCCGTCTGCGAGTTGGGTGACGGTACAAGGTTCATGGGCTGCGTCATCTGGGATGACAGCTGCAAGTTCGGTCCACAATTGCCTGGTGAGCCGGACGCGGTGCCGGTCGCAATGCTATGCAGGAGCGAATGCATCATGTCATAGAGCTGGTGTCCAGCCATCTCGCAAGGGAGAGAGAAGGTTGGAAAGGGGTGAAAACAAAACCACAACTGCGGCAAAAATGCGTCAATGGTGCAAATGCATGCGAGCCAACTTCAACCTGCGAATCGAAACCAAACAGAGGGAATTCCACCAGGGGACCGCCAAAACCCCGCGGCAACGGCAAAAGTTTCCACAGAAATGCATGCGAGCACAAAGGGGTTCTCAGAGGTGCCTGTCAAGTGGCCTCATGAAAGTGCCTCATGTGGCTATGCCGATGAATCTGAACTGAACTCATCCGAGACGAAAGCTTCCATAAACGCCACGAATCGCAGAGTTGGTGTATGACCAACTCGTCACTGGCGCATGAAGCTTAGGAGCCTGAAACCTCGTGGGTGCAGCCTTGCTTCAAAGGCAGGCAGTGCAGGCAGTGCAGGCGCATGAAACCAGCAGAGCACCATTTGGGTGCGGAATACCTTAAGACCTCAAGCTGCAGCCTTGATCGTGGTCAAACGCGCTGAACTGAACTGCAGCTTGAACTTGAACACTTGAACGGTCTTCCCCTCGCAGGGGGCTCCCGCATATGGCGAGTCCAGCCCACAGCGCCATGTCGGACAGGCCGTGGGTAAACACACTTATCTCGAGAGGCTTCACTAGCCGAGATGCAAAACGCAGTCAGTAAAAATGCTTGAATGCAAATGCAAATCAACAGGTCACAACATCGACACCGAACAGGAAGCAACAGCGACAAACAGAAACCGCAAAAAGAATCAGGAAAGAGGGTCAGGAAATAGGCAGGTACGCCGGATTGATCAGATCCGGTATCCACCGAAATGCCGTAGCTTCATTGGACTGGATAGGCAAATCGGCTCCAGTCCCCCTGCAATGTGGAATTTCCGTCCGTGCTCCAGGACGCTTCACACACACACACACACACACACACACACACACACACACACAGGTCCTTGCGCGGCTCGTAGGCAATGAGCAGCCGCCAGCACAATCGAAGCCTGCGCCATGGCAGCTTCAAATTCAAACCCGGTGACGGTTGCTCCTACCAAACATGGTCATAAAAATTGATATGGGTATGGGTCAAAACTAAACCACCAGGAATTGCACCGCAGGTTTTAGTCCATGTTTCCATTTACCGGGTTCCATTTTTGGTATCTATGTTTGACCCACAGCCATATGAGTTTGCTTCAAAATAAGATATGGAGCCCCCCAAATGGCAATGGATTCTTTTTGGTTTCCCTCTAAGCCCACCCCAAAAGGGGTATCCTCAAAAAAAGACACACCCGTTTTTGGAACCGCACACTCCAAATGGCCAATGGGAATCGGCATTGGGCGCTCTCTCACGTGGGGTAGAAGTGCTTGATGGTGACACATAAGTATCAACCAGCACATGCGCAAGCTAAGCCGCACTGCTTGGCTTCCGCCCAGTTTCTGGGCAGCGATTCTCGGTCCTCATTTTTCAGAGGTGTTTGTAGATACACCCCCTTGGGCACAGCCCAAAAGGCTTGCTGTGAATCCCCTTCCCCCAAAAGGAATCAGTACCTGTTCTGAAGATGCGTGGTCGGGGAACCGAGAAACCGGTCTGAACAAGATGCACCGATCGAGCAGCCGACCTGGCGGTTAAATCCTTAATGTATGGGTGTGTATTTCAAAAGAAACACCACAAACATTGCAAGAGATTGCTTTTGGTGTCCACTTAACCGCCCGCAAAAACGCACACACACACACACAAACACACAAACAAACATCGCAACTCTTGTCACTAAGATCCCCGCGCGCCCGCGAACGCCAGCGGGGCGCTCATCATTTCATCCTGGCAACTGCCAGTGGCAATTGGCCCTTGACACATTTGAGCGTTTCTTGAAGTTGGTACGCTCTGTGGTGCGGGTTTTAATGGGAAAAACCAAAAGGAGAATCACCATCGGGGTCCCCTAGAAAGAGGCACAGCCATTTGGATGCGAAAATGTCTGGAACGGGAGGATCCCTTGGGGGTTTCTTGTATGCAACAAGGCCTATCTGGTATGGCTTTCATGGTCGACGCAATAAGCAGGAGAAGAAGAAGAAGAAGAAGAAAAAAAAGACCCCCGCATGCAACTGCGCCTGCAGTCCAAAGATGCCGCGAATTTCTGCTCGTCCCCACATGCGAGGTCCGAACTGGGCTTCAGTACCAAACCTGAAGCTCTCCAACAGGACAAGAGCTCCCCGAAATTCCATATGTCTAGTCTTCCCTACAGAAAAGGCAACGTGAAACTTTTCAAGAGAGTGGGGACTCCGCCTAGCTCCGACCCCTGGCTCAAGATCTAGGAAAATCCGGCCGGTCACACTGGCCCACCAGCTCAGGCTCGACACTCGAGCCCTTGTCCATCAGCCCCGGTTGGGAGCTTCAATCTGACACAAATGGCTGTGGTTGTCAAGACCAATGGGACCCCAAAATTGGTTGGTAGGCGATTTCACCACCCATTTGAGAACCTATTTTAGTGGGGATTGGAATGTTCACTGCGGGTATGGGATTTCGACCCATGGCCAAATCAACTGATGGACCGTGGCTGTGGGCGAAGAGATTCAGACGAAGACAAGCGTGCCGAAGGGCTCGAAACTTGATCTCCAGGCAGCTTCTCGAAATGTCTTGACCCCTTCACCAAGAGAATGACACGGGCGCATGCTTCGTGACCAAGTAAATTGAAATGCTACACTTACAAGCAATTACAAGAATATCACCATACGTTTAAGCAGGGCCTTTTGATGGTTAGATTCTGTGCTGTGGGCATACCTGCCTCAATCAATCTGGGGTCAAATGTCCAGGGTCAAAAACAAACACACACACACACACACACACACACACACACACCCGCCCACCCACCCTCCCAGTCACATGGCTACCGAATTCAACCAAATCTAGTACAAGGATTCAAGCTGACATGCAAATCAATTTTGCAAAGTTAAATTTGGACCTCAACCGGCTCGGCTCACTCCTCGAGGACGCAGCTCATGTACTTCATCAGCTGGCCCCGGTACTCATGGCCGTGGATGATCTCCTACTTGGAATGTCGTGTTGACCACACCGGGCACCGGGAGGTCCATTTTTGGTTAGAAACCCCAGTGGCTCCCAGGCGTTTCTCCAGCTTTTTGTAGGTCACCCTGCGCCATCCTTTGTCGTTTTAGGGTGGTTTCCATTGGTTGCTTTACAGAGCGCACTTGCGCAACTTGCAAACCGCAACAATTGCAGCGCGCGCCGGCTCAAACCGCATCCCAAACACACCGGTGCAACTCCAAGGTAACCCGTTGATGTGCGGCCACGCCAATCTGAGCGGCTCAAACATAGTGGACCCACCGGCGTGCGCCGCCCACAGAACGCAACCTCCTTGGCTTCCCAAGCTCGAAATCCAGAGACAATACCTAGAAAGTGAGTAACAACCATCTAACTAGCATACCTGAGCAATACGTACAGTTGGCACTTGTTTGAGATTGTCCTCAAATGGGCGAGAAGTCCACCCTGGGTCCATGTGCGGACTGATTCTTACTCAGGTAACTTGAAACCGCCTGTCAAGTGCCCTTCGTGCGCGAGCGTGCCACCGCACTCGGCTCCTCTACAAGGTCGTCAACGCCCGGCAAGGCCTGGCTGATGAGCCCCAGAGCAGTTGGTGGTTGGAGCCCAGCAGTTTGGTGCTTACCGTCTAGAACCATTCAAATCCAAATCCAGAGCCACCAATCCCAAACCACCAACTAAGGGGCTACCTGAAGATCCGTTGATCGGAGACCTCCCAGAAGCTGCCCCAAACCACCCCCAGTCGCCTTTCTGGGCGCGTCGATCCCGACTCCCAGAGGTTGGGGGAAAAAGGACATGGAACCAAAGGCATTCCGATGCTTTGGGGCTCCGATGCTCTTCGAGGTTCAGCTTCCAGCTCTCCAGTCGGAACCAGGAAAAACTCTTATGTCTTGGAAGCTACGGCTACCAATCTGATCGGAGCCAAGAACGATCCCCAGGTCGCGTTCGTCAACCTCCATGAGGGCCGATGCTTCCGAAGTCGGCTGGGGCCCGGGGCAATCAGGGCGCCCATGACGTCAAACCTGGGGATCCAATGGCCGGCAAGCTTCTGATCAGAGTAAAGATGCTAGCGGCTAGAGGCAAAACACCTGGGTGCCAAGAAAATCTGGGTATGGCTAGCACATTTCCCGAATTTCTTCCCAATGGTCAGTACGTCAGCAAAGTTTCCTCCATTTTTTTTCTGGAACCTCAAAAGGTTGCAGCGTCAATGGAAACTAACCGTGCATTGCAACTTTTGGAGGGGAACTTCATCCAGACACCCCTGGCAACCCCACTCAAAAGCTCAGGGCAAACAAAAGCGCGGTTAAGGTTTCCCCCCAAATTCGGTCCTGCTCTCTCTCACGCAAAAAGAAAAAAGCCGGGCTCAAGAAGTGCTCAAGTTTGGACTCGGGGTGTCTGCACTTGCTACCGTGTATTGCAAGGAAACCGAACCCCAAAAGCCCAGAACCAAAGGTCCACTACGGTATATTAGGAGTCCTTGTTCCCCTGCTTGCAAAATGTAGGACATCCGCAAGTGCCCCCTTGTCAGGCTTGCCGTATCCTCTCTGCGACAAGGCGACGCACCAGATCAAGCCGTCGGTTGGCTGGGAAGAGGGGTTTGAAAGGATGTGGCTGCTTCCACATCTTTGCCCTCTAAGGAACAAGCAGATCCAAGTTCCCCGTTTTATTGAGGCAATTGGGCCCGTGTTTCTTCGTGGGTACCCTTTCTGGGGCTGGCTTAAAGGGCAAACCACCAGAAACTCTGCTTGTTTGTTTCTACTTTCTTGTTTGCTTGCTTTTTTGTTCCTTTTGTTTCCCGGCGGGGGGGGAGCGGCTCCCATGTTGTGACACATACTCATTTGTTTTCCAAAACCAACACCTAGAATAAGACTCGTCGGATAGCCTGAGGATCCACGGGCGAACTCTTTCCTTCACCTTAGCCCTGTGGAACGGCTCAGATTGAATCGGTGTGACATGAACCAAAGCTCTCAGGACACCGGGTCAATTCTGAACAAGCGCTACACCTAGGGCCCTTATCTCAGCGGGTAACCCAAGTTGCCAACTTACGAACTGGGCCACGCACATCTGAACACAAGTTAGTCTCCATGGCACCCCCATTTTGAAATACCCCATTTCCCTGTGGGCCAAAGGCTTGCCACCCGAAGACTAGGAAAATGGCGGGAGACCTCTGTCGAAACGCCGAGCTGGGTGTTGGAATTGTTGTTTCAACTCACTCCTTTTGGCTTCCCGAATGTTGACCCCAGAGATTGGGTTTATCAAGCTGAGGGTGTTTGGAACCCAAATGGCCAACCACCGACACCAACTTGGCAACCATGAATCCTAGCAGGTGACTCAAAACCGGGCATTTTTCTTAGGGAACATATCTGCTTTACTGCGGATGAAAACCACCAACTAAGAAATTGCCCGAAGTTGATATTTTTGCTGAGTCCGCTTTCCCCGGCACTTTTCTTGGGAAAGTTTTCACTCACCGCCTCTTCGGCTTTTAACCAAAAAAAGGCGCCACTTCGCGCCCCGCGCGCCATTTGCCCCACGCGACTCGCGGCCACTCGCGCCGGGCCCGCGGCAGCCCGGCCAAGATCTTGGAGTTGGCGCCGTTCTTCAGCGCGGACACCGTGGGACTGGCAGGCGCCGGCGGAGTGGGGTTCAGCTCTTCGCTGGGGGTGTCACACCCCAAAAATCTTGGATCCTGGGCTGCAATACATATGTATGTATATATATATATCTATCTATCTATCTATCATGTATGTACCTGCATACATATTTAAATATGTAGAAATATATGTATGTGTATATATATGTATATTGTATACACATATCATACACAAACACCCTTGGCGGCTATAAAGATACTGTATATCTCAAGAAACCCCTCAAGGTAGCTGTTTGGGGGAGTCTTGGAAGCTATC